ACGAATACTCTTGCAGCCAATGGTGAGATCGCCTGGTATGATACGGGGGTTGATTAAGAAAAATGTTGCCAATGAGCTTCAGCCACACTGGATTAGACAATTGCAAATAAACACTCAGTAGTTGAATGATATCAAGACAATCTTCAATTGAAGAATAGCATTGTAGTTTTTTGCAAGTTTCTTTAATATTTGTCATCCAACTCATGTCACTGTCAAGGTACAAGCTGAGACATTTTGTGGAGTGACAAACATTAACAATATCTAAACGTTCTCAAAGTTGAGACTTTCCTCTTAAGAGGTTGCAATATCAAAGCGTAAAAAATAAATTGGAGTTTCAAAAACACGAGTACGTCGTCCTAGATTTGCAACATTTGGGGATATCTAGCTCTTTGATTGTGTTCAACCAGACGGCTTTTGCACAATATAAACAAACATATGCAGCTCTGTTGGAAAGAAACATCGAAGGCGACGGCGATGCTGAAGATTCGCATACCCAACCAACAGAAGCAGCTAATAATGACGTCAAAATTTGATGATAACTCGTCAACTGACGTGATTGTTCCAAATATCAACGTCGTAATGACGTCTAGTTGTGTACGTTGTTATGACGTGTTTCTGAGATTATATGTTTTTAATGATATATACTCGTATTTTTATACAGGGTGACGCATCGAAAACGAGACAGACGCATTTACTGGTAGCTCAGTTTTTTTTTTGGAAAAACGCTCAGACCCGACGATTTTGTTTTCGAGGGGGACACAAGTTTGGCAAAAAAGCACGTTAACATGTGCAGCCCCCTGGGCGGGGGTGACACCAGCCCTAAAATCTTAATAGGAAAGGAGGGGTCGAGTGATACCTTATTTTAAAGGCCTTTCAATTCCCTTTATAATGATGTAAAATACATGAGCTTCAGTTCAGTAGTTTTGAAGATTTATTGATTTAAAGCTTAAAGTAGACTTTAATAGGTACATCAGATTAGTTTGTATTACTTTCAGAAGAAATTTGACTAAAAGAATTTACTTAATAACTAAATGCTTTTCTTCACTACGCCCATGGTTTGTTGATCATTTTGTTGTTAAAAATAGCTGTTGGAGCGTTTTTTTTTGTGGGAAAAAATATTTCTTGAAGAAAGATAAGGAAATATCTCGTACTTATTTGAAATAGAAATTTAGTACATAGTTTGCGATTGATTTGACCAAACTTTGTTGCTAAAATAATTTGTAACGCTTTATTACATAAATTAACCATGGTATATTCCACAGCAGAAAGAGTTGAAAGTATCGAAATATTTTTCGGAAATAACACTGGTCAACAAAATTTTAACTTTGTCGGGCCACACGGACTTTTTTGATATTTTTTACTTTAATTGGTGATTGTAAGAAAAAATAAACAGTTAAAAAAAATTGCTAGACAAGGACTTTATTCTATTGAATAATTTAAAATATTAAGAAAAAACACAGTTCTCGTAAATCAAAAGTTTTTTTTTTATAAATGACTTAATAATCTAAGATTTTCTTGAATATTTAGCTTCTGGTTGGTCCCTTTTAATTGTCCAGCAGTAATCTGCTAACATATTTGGGCTCCATTTGCCCTGGTACCGCTTTTCCATATTAGAAATGTCCTGATGGAACCTCTCACCGTGCTCGTCGCTGACAGCCCCTAAATTGTCAGGAAAAAAATCCAGGTGCGAGTCTAAAAAATGGATCTTAAGTGACATGTTGCAACCCAATGCTTGATATGACAATAATAGCTCGCTAACCAACTCTCTGTAGCTGTCACTCTTGTGGTTACCCAAAAAATTTGAAACAACATTTTTAAAAGCCTTCCATGCAGATGTTTCTAAATCGCTTAATTTTTCTTCAAATCTTGAATCTTTTATTAACTCCCTAATTTGAGGGCCAACAGAAATACCCTCTTTTATCTTTGCATCACTTATTTTAGGGAATTTTTCTTTTAGATACAAAAATCCACTCCCATTGCGATCCATTGCCTTCACAAAATTTTTTATTAATCCTAATTTGATATGCAATGGTGGTAGAAGCACATTATTTGGCTGTACAAGGGGTAAATACTTTACGTTTTTTTGCCCAGGAACTAACGATGCACGCGTAGGCCATGTTTTTTTTATATAGTGATTAGTTCTGTCTCGGCTATCCCATTCACATAAAAAGCAGCAAAACTTTGTTTAACCCAGCTGAAGTCCAAGTAATAGTGCAACAACTTTAAGATCACCGAAGATTTTGAAGGAATATGTACTGTAATTTATTTTTTCAAGTAAAAGTTTCATATTTTCATAGGTTTCTTTCATATTTGCAGCATGGGCCAGAGGTACAGACGGAAGCTTATTTCCATTATGCAATAACACTGCTTTTAGACTTGCTTTCGAAGAATCAATGAATAAACGCCACTGAGAGAGATCAAAATCTATGTCCAACATTTTCATAATATCATTTATGTTATAGAGAAACACCAAATCTCCATCCTGAGAAATATACGTTCTGAAGTGTTGATCACGGTTTCGAAAATAGCTAACTTTTGTATTATGATATAGCAAATTCCATTCTTTTAGACGTGATCCTAATAGTTCTGACTGCTTTTTTGACAAATTTAAATCCCGAACCAAATCATTTAGATCTCCTTGAGTTATCAAATGTGGCTCGTTTACAATTCCTTTTAACTCAAAGTCATCGTCCTTGTCAACACATTCACCTGAAGTGGACGGTTGTGAATTGTTCTCAACAGACGTAGTTGCAACTGGTATTAGTTCTGGCAATTTTTTACAATGAGAGACTGGTCTTATAGCCGAAGATAAGTTAGGGTAAATAAATGTGGTTTTTTTCTTGTAATTTATACCTTTTATGTCTGTGAGACAAAAATAGCAATCTGAAACGTGATCTCGCTGTTCAGTCCATATCATGGGTACAGCAAACGGCATAGGTCGTGCACCTTTCTTCCAGTCAGTTAAATTTTTCACACACGTTATGCAACAGACGTGAGGGGCCCAGGATTTGTCTTGATGGGCGACAGAAAAACCAAAACATTGGTGATAACACTCCAACACAAGATTCGTAAAATTTCGTCGTTGTTTTTTGAATGTTAGTTCTCCGCAGACATAACAAAAAGAGTTAGGATCATTATTACACTTCCTCGACATATTCACAGGGTTAATAAATCACAAAAAAGTGTTCAAATTCAACAAGAAATATTTTTATAAGGATTTACTTGTAAGCGTTTCTGTTAATTTACTGCCGTAGTACTAGTTATTAGTATTACCGTATCACAACAAATATGAGGCTAATAGACATATGACAGCTGTCATGTAATAATGAGGGTAGACTGATAAAACAAAATAAGCTGTCAAAGTTCGTGTGGCAAAACCAGTGTTGACCAGTGAACAGCAGAAATATTTAATGACCGACATGAGAACAGTAACGTGCATCGAAAATATGTTCTAGAACTTGTAGCTAAATTTCTGAAACTGGGTCAGTCGCCAATAAAAAACGCAACATTGAAAATCCCATAAGGAACGAAGCAATAGAAGTGGGGTTTTAGGGCACGTTTATGTAGATCCTACGTTAAGTACCCGCAAATTGGAGACTGTGTGTGGTGTTAGTCGACGTACTGTCCAACGGATTCTAAAGGCCCATAGTGTTCATCCGTATAAAATTCACCTGGTACAAGAACTTAATGAAGACGATTTTGATCGGCGATTACAATTTTGTGAAGATATGAGTGAACGAATTATAAACGATGAACATTTTCTATTCAACTCTTGCTTTTCCGACGAGCGTTCCTCTTTCTTAAATGGCGTAGTAAAGCGTCATAACTGCCGATATTGGTCCGATTCTAATCCCAGAATTTATCATGAGGTTTATACACAGCAGCCACAAAAATTAAATGTTTGGGCTGGCATTTTTGGCGATCATTTAGTTGGTCCTTTTTTCTTACCTGGAAATTTGACCGGAGAAATGTATTTGGAATTACTGGAAGACGCCATAGATCCTGCATTAACATCCATAATTGAAAATCAGATTGATCAGCGGTACATTGCGAATAGGTTGATGTTCCAACAGGATGGTGCCCCACCACATTACGCATTACGTGATCGACAATATTTAGATCAGACGTTTGCAAATCGATGGATTGGTCGAAGAGATGTCATTGAATGGCCTCCAAGATCGCCAGATTTATCACCTTTGGATTCCTTTATTTGGGATCATTTAAAAAGCAAAATCTCAGCCAACATCATTAGAAGACCTGCGACAAAGAATTGTGAATGGGTGCCTTCAAATTACTCCTCAAATATTGCGGCAACGTTTTGAGCAAAATCTTTATTATTGCATGGAGAGTCATGGTGGCCATTTTCAACATTTACTTGCCTAACGGGTCAGTTCATTCTTCATTTTTAAATTACTTCGCTGCCAAATGTATTGATCTCCACGAATGATGATGTGTTAGTTTTATTTAAGCTTTAAATCAATAAATCCTCAAAACTACTGAACTGAAGTACATTAATTTTATTTATATCATTACAAAGGGAATTGAAAGACCTTTAAAAGGTATCACTCGATCCCCCTTTCCATTTAAGATTTCTGGGTGGTGTCACCCCCGCTTATGGGGCTGCACGTGCTAACGTGATTTTTTGCCAAACTTGTGTCATCCTCGAAAACAAAATCGACGGGTCTGAGCGTTTTTCAAAAAAAAAACTGAGCTGCCAGTAAATGCGTCTGTTTCATTTTCGATGCGCCACCCTGGAGATGCGATATTTCTGTTAATTTAGAAACAATCTTTCCGATTCAGAACGGATCAAGGCGACTTGATCCGGCCCCTGGATAGAATTGCATGGTCACATAAAACTACTGGGATGGCAAGGTTCCATCGGGGATTGTAGTGAAAATCTAGCTTTACAGAAACAATTTCCTGAAAACTGTCTCTCCCCTGGCTAATATTAGTGAGCACCACCAAGCTTGTCACCAAAACCACTCCAACCAGTCTCCGTGCTTACCCTTCGCATAGATACTCCTCTGCAGATCAGAACCCGTCTCATATTTCTCACACAGCAACGCCGAAATCTGGTCATTCTCAAACACGTCCACACAGTACGACGCGTAATCGTACGCGTAATCGAAGCTCTTCACGTACAGGCTCCCATCGGTTTGCAGGTAAAGGTCGGAGGTGGAATCCGGAAGGATGTGGACGTGGTCTTTCGCGCACTTTGCACCAAACACTACCTTGAAGGAAGGAGGATTATGTACGATTTATAGATCGATTTTGTCAAGGGTTTTATATCGGTTTCGACATTTTCTGGAAAGGAGGGGGTTCAAATCTTACGGTGAGCGTTGCTGAAACTTCTAGAATAGCTCTCGAGAGCATCCTGATCGAAAGCTCTTAGCAATACTATGAATTGTTTCGATGGTATACAGGGCGACTCGAACATGCAAGAACGGAATATTGCTCGTAAATAAAATCTTATAAAAAAACTATTTATTATACATGGTATCCGAGGGCACATTTCTAAAACACTCACAATTATACAGGGGGGCCCAATTTTGTGCCACATCAAAAACATTTCTTTAAATGGAAGGCCTAATCTGGGCTTTGATTATTTGTTAAAGGGCTATTGGGCATTTTACCTAAAAAGAAAACAAGTTTGACAACTTGCGTATCATATAGTTGATATATTTAAAAGATTTAGCGTGATGTGAATATACAGGGTGTCCGCAAAGTTGGGGTTTTCCTTTTCAGAAACAACTACCCTTGAAATAGCAAAGGTAATGTGTAGTGAAACGAGGGCGACCAAGTAAAAAAAAATAAAGGAAGAAGTACTCACTCTCCAGTTGACGAGAAGGGCTAAGTACGTCTCTGCCAGAAATCATACCGCTCCAACAAAAATGAAATCAGCTGAAGCGCTACCGAGCAGACGCAGAAACCACATTGACTGTCTTACACTTAATGGCACAACAAGGAAGGCAAAATGTTGCGTAAAAAGTCTAGGTATTGCATCCCGTCCAATCGATTTGGGAGAATAAATGGTCCAATGAGCATACCGTTCACCATGCCAGCCCAAACTTTCACCGAAAATGTTTGTTGAAAATGTGTCCGACGGACAGCGTGCGGATTTTCTACTGACCAAACATGAGTGATGCGAAAGTTATTCACCCCATTACGCGTGAACGTAGATTCGCCTGTCACCAATATGCACTTCAAAAAGTCCGGATTATTGTCATGTTGATGCAACAACCACTCACAGTCACAAAACCGCACTCTTGCTGGAAAATCGTCAGGTTGTAGGGCTTGTACACGTTGAACATGAAACGGATACAGCCCCTCTTCACGCAGCGTTTGCCACACTTTAGTTTTTGATACTTGCACTTCTCTAGCCACGTCTCTAGTGCTTGTTGAGGGATTCTCGTCTACGCGATTACCTCTACACGCGTGACCGTAACCGTCGGTTGAAGGTTGCATACTGACCTGAAACACTGACCGCGACCCAGTTCGGTCGTCGGGTTGAGTCAGTGACCTTGTACCAGTCGGTGATGTCGCGGCTACAGGACGGTATTCAGATATTTTTGATGTTGCAGAGCCCTTTATCTCGGTTCCCTTAAGACATTGGTGTATATGGTATGTTTTCAAGATCTACACGTCGTGTAAAGGAAAACCCCAACTTTGCGGACACCCTGTATTGATGTATCGAAAGATGTACCAGCATAATATCGAAAATAGTCGATACCTGTGATTTTAAAAATTACCTAAAAGATTTACTTTTACCTTAATGGCCATGATCAAATAGAGTTACTCTTGAAAACAAGTGACTTGACCTTGACGTGATCTTGAAAGTTGATGTCAAGGTGAATCATTATGAAGTTCTTTTTTTATCATTTCAAGGCTCAGCTAAAAAATTAGTATGATCAGGATTTATTATTGACAAAGGTCGTGGCTCAATGTAGATACTTCATTGTGGAATGTCTCACTCTTTTATTTCCGAAATCCAAAATGGAACTTCAAAAGAAGTGACTTGGCCTTGCGATGACCTTGAAGGTATGGCACGCCCTGTATATCATGGAAACGGCTTCATAAGCTTGCTAAGAGCCCATGAGAACTTTCGATCAGGATGCTCTGGAGAACTGGGTCAGGTGCCCCTTCTGCCCTTAAGATAAAGTCGGAATAGATTCCACTAATGTTATGAATGAGAAAGTGTGGATATTTGTTACAAAGTCTCACCAAAATAGCTGAAAGGATCTGGATGAAATTTGGTACAGAGATAGAGCCTGGACTAGCACATTCGCTACCTTTTATCCAGTATCTGAAATAAATATTTCGCGGGCTAAAGCGGAAGCGCTCAGTCTCTGCTCCGACCAATTTTTTTTACACCGAATCAGCCGCGGGCGCAGCAGCCCAAGCATGTGAGCAGTACTCGAGGCTAGCTCTTATCTGGATCTTGTACAGAGTGAGGAGGTCATATGGAGAAAAACACTTCTTAGATATAAACGAATAGCCTAGCTTTTCCAGCAGCAGCCGGTATAGTTCTTGCGAGATCAAGTCCTTGGCGATCTGGACTCCCACCAGCCGAAATAAGCAGCTATTTGATGGCACTCGGCCATCCAATGTAATCGGATGATAAAAGCAAAACTGCTGTTAAAATGATTAACAAAATCGATCATGAAATCGTATATCCTTACCTCAAAATCGCTCAAACTCACTGATGTAACCGATGTCACATTCTCATAAAAACCAAGTCTGAAATTATCGCGAGGGTTCGGCACGCAAGTTCCGTTTGTCACTTTCTTGTGAGTCTCACAGCACTTTCTGATACACCTTTTCACTTGACAAACACATCCCCAAGTGGCGTCGTCTTCTTGAAAATAGTCCTTGGTGGTATAGCGCACCTTGTCTTTCACGATATCACCTTGGTTCTTGAGACCGTCAGATATATTGACACGTTCCCAAGTTTCACAAAGTTCACTTGTGCGGTTAACTAAGAACATTCAGTCATCAGCAAGAAAAGCATCGTAAATAATACTCATGGTATTTCAAATATGCACACTGTATACTCAATAAAATATATCTCAGCTGCTGTTTGGATATCTAAATCTACATCGATCTTCTATTTTTAGTTGATCAATGAGATATCGGTGTGTTCTTTATCAACCGCAAAAAATAAATACATTGTGCACTTTTGATAAACAACTCAGAAAACAGATATAAATTAAAATGGAGTGTTATAAGAGTATTGACACTAAATTGAGTACTCCTATTTAAGTAGTGAATAAGAAGTAGTCAAATTTACCAGTAAAACAGGTACAGTGGACTTCCGGTAATCCGGCATTATGTATATGTATGTACTTTGAAGTACAAATCATACATAGTTTATGTATGTCGAATTTAGTAAATTAAATAACAATAGAGAGCTTACGTTTTATTATAAAATTAAGCATAAATGCACATACATATGTACCAAAATAATCAAGAATTGTTAATCAAAATCATTAATGAATTTATCAAATTATGAAGCTTGGAAATATTCATCAATTTTCAGAGCTTTGTCTCTCAGTCTTCTCAAAAGTAAAAGTTCGTTGTAGGATGTACCATTCTATTCAGCCCACTGTAAACCTAGCTCAAATGCGTTAATTGCGTCTTGTGCTGTGACTTGTGGAGCAGTTGCAATCACGTTGTCGTTATTTTCCTGATTGTTTGTTGTATAATTAGAAACCTCTTTTATAATCTCTTCGTCAGACATTTCATGAAAAAAATTTTCCTCTTTACCCATTCCACGGCCCCAGATTTCCAAATCTTCCGGACTTATCTGTGTTTTAGCGACTTGTTCTATAACTTCCGAAGTAACACTAATTTGTGGAACGTTGCTAGGAGTGGTGACTATATCTGGCCATAACTTTTTCCAAGACGATTTAATAGTTGATGACGGTAACGCATTCCACGACTGACAAAGAGCAAAAACCAAGTCTTTCATATTAAATTCTTTTAAAGTTTTTTCTATTGGTTGGTCTTTTGATACGGCTCTCAGAAGTAGGTTTTCTTATAGTCTTGCTTGACAACCTGAATGATATTCTGGTCCATTGGTTGAATCAGTGCAGTGCAATTTGGCGGAAGAAACATCGCATTGATGCATTTATCCTCAGTTGTTAGTTCTTCTTCAGACGGATGACAGGGAGAGTTATCAAGAAGCAACAACGCTTTTTGAAGAAAATTATGATCTTTTAAGCATTTTCTTCAGGTACGAAGCATTCATCAAACCACTTTCTGAAAAGGTCTTTTGTCATCCATGCACTTTTTTGTCCGTAATAGTGTACAGGTAAATCAATGTCTTTGAATGCCCGTGGTTTTTTAGATTTCCCAATGACCATCATCTAAAGCTCGTGTGTGCCCGCAGCGTTAGCACATGGTAGTATGGTTACACGCTCTTTACTTAATTTTCGTCCAGGTTCGGATTTTTCGTTACAAGAAACGAAAGATTTGTTAGGCATCACACGCCAAAAAAGCCCTAATTCGTCTGCATTGTACACCTGTGACGGGTCAAGATTTAAATCGTTCACCTTTTGCAAAAATCTTAATTTAAAGGGCTTTATGCAGTTGGCATCGTTAGATAGTTCCTCTCCTGTAATAGTCATTAAACGTATGCCATGACGACTTTTAAAACGTTCTAGCCATCCTTTGCTGGCCTCAAAATCATCTTTTTTTTGTAATTTCCTTATAAAAAAACTTAGCTTTCATGGCCGACATGGGTCCTGAAATTGGTACATGCCTATTTCTTTCCTGAAGAAACCACATGTACAAAGCTTCTTCCAATTCTGGATGTTCAGCTTTCTTAAGTGTTTGTCTCTTGCCTGGCCCGCAGTCAGTAGTTGACACGTACTTCTTGATCTTCTCGTGGTTTCTTTTAGTGTCATAAATTGGAGACCGGCCTACGCCGTATTCACTTGCTAAACTACTGAAAGTTTCATTGCGATTTAAGGGGTCTAAAATATCACATTTTTCTTTAATTGTCAATGTTTTGTGCTTTCGCTTCTGAGTTTGTGGGTACTATACTTAATACACAATGAATAAATAGTAAACAATGAACGCACGCTAGGCCGAACCGCCAGTAGTCAAATTCAAACTAAGTAAAACAATGCTTACGCGTCGAGCACGATAGCGGTGGAGCATACAAGTTGTAACCCGTTCAAACCTGCGTGATCTACATTAGCAAAGATTGTCAAATACATATGTATGTAATACATATTCAAAGACATGTCGGACTACAGGGGGCGCCGGATTAGACAAGGGCCGGATTATCGGTGGTCCACTGTACTTCTATTTGGTAACGTATATATTTCGGTATTTTAGCAAATTGAGTAGATAAAAGACAACTATTTATTTAATATAGTTCGAGGTTTATTTTTTATTTTGCATGATTCTTATGCCAAAGTCCGATAGTATATATGAAGAAACTTTATTGGATACAATGTGTTCCGTTATTTCGTATTGATAACAAAGTGTTTGGCAGTTAATTCCCTTTTGATATAACTTCAAAAAATATGATCCTATTTCGCCAGAAATTGTCCGAAAAAAGGAGTTAAAAGCATTATTTTAAAAGGTAGTTTGAGTTCAGTCTCAAAAATCACATACCATAAAATGCACACATGTGGAAAATTTGTAGCGCATCTTCACAAAAATGAGGTATTTTATACCTTAATAATATACTAAGTGACATATAAATCCGAACACCCAGTTTAAATGGTTTTATTTTAAGAAAATTTTGTATAAGTACTTAATGAAGCATAATAAGTAAATGATAAAAATTTCAAAATGATTGCACTGCTTTAAAGCCCTTTGACCTTTAATAATGTGTGGATGCACCCAGATGTGCTACGCATTCTCCAACGCGCCTAGGCATGCTTCTGATCAGGTGGTCAATGTCCTCCTGTGGTATCTCATTCCAGGCAACCACCAACTCCTCTCGAAGTGCTTCTAGAGTCTGAGGAGGACGTTGCAAATTGAGCAATCTCCTACCCATCATATCCCACACGTGCTCAATTGGGGATAAGTCGGGAGATCTTGGTGGCCATGGTAACAATGTGACATCATTATGTTGAAAGAAGTCTATTGTGACTCTTGCAACATGTGGTCGGGCATTATCTTGTTGGAAAGTTGGATCTGCCAGGGTGTCAAGATAGGGTAAAAGATGGGGTTCTAGAACTTTGTGGATATAACGCTGCGCGTTCATGTTACCTCTGATGAAGATTAAAGGTGACCTGGAACCATAAGCTATAGCACCCCAAACCATAACTCCAACAGTGTGACGAACATGTCTTTCAACAAACAACTGTGGATTCCTCCTTTCACCACGTCGCCTTCTAACCCTTACACCGACGTAATCGCCTTGAGTGGTGCAGACAACGGTCACTCTGGGATCAGGAATGGAACAGTATTGTCTTTAGTGACGAGTCTCGATTTTGTTTGGGCATGCACGATGGTCGTGCCAGGGTTAGAAGGCGACGTGGTGAAAGGAGGAGTTCACAGTTTTTGTTGAAAGACATGTTCATCACACTGTTAGAGTTATGGTTTGGGGTGCTATAGCTTATGGTTCCAGGTCACCTTTAATCTTCATCAGAGGTAACATGAACGCGCAGCGTTATATCCACGAAGTTCTAGAACCCCATCTTTTACCCTATCTTGACACCCTGGCAGATCCAACTTTCCAGCAAGATAACGCCCGACCACATGTTGCAAGAGTCACAATAGACTTCTTTCAACATAATGATGTCACATTGTTACCATGGCCACCAAGATCTCCCGACTTATCCCCAATTGAGCACGTGTGGGATATGACGGGTAGGAGATTGCTCAATTTGCAACGTCCTCCTCAGACTCTAGAAGAACTTCGAAAGGAGTTGGTGGTTGCCTGGAATGAGATACCACAGGAGGACATTGTCCACCTGATCAGAAGCATGCCTAGGCGCCTTGGAGAATGCGTAGCACATCAGGGTGCATCCACACATTATTAAAGGTCAAAGGGCTTTAAAGCAGTGCAATCATTTTGAAATTTTTATCATTTACTTATGATGCTTCATTAAGTACTTATACAAAATTTTATTAAAATAAAACCATTTAAACTGGGTGTTCGGATTTATATGTCACTTAGTATAGATTGTATGAGTATATACATGATTTTTATAACTTCTTAAAAATATATGTAAATACTATCTCTACATTTTTTTAGAAGCAATATATGAAAATTGTTCAAAAAAAAAATGTGTTCGTGGAAAATTTGCAGTTGATAATATACTAAGTGACATATAAATCCGAACACCCAGTTTAAATGGTTTTATTTTAATAAAAGTTGGTGAATGTATTTATCTTACTGTAAATAACCAGTGAACAAATTTTTAGCCTTATCAGTTGGACATTCCCGTTTTTATACTGCTTTTTTTAATTCACTAACGCTCTAAAAATGAATATTTCAGCCGCAGTAAAGAATCAACGTTGGCGGATTTTGGTTCTTGACATCCTTTACGATCGGTTACGATGCCTAGAGTACGGAGACCTGTACGATTTCGTCAACTTAGTGAGTTTGATAGGGGCCGTATAGTGGGACTTCGGGAAGCTGGACTTTCTTTTCGGGCAATTGCAGTTAGAGTGCAAAGAAGTGTAGACACTGTGGTTAGGTGTTGTCAGGCATGGCTTCGAGAAGGCCGTACGCAAAGAGCAAGGGGCACTGGACGCCGCCGTAGAACAACAGACCGTGAAGATCGCCGCCTAAGATTATTGGCCTTAAGGGACCGTTTCTCCACTACCAGGTCCATTCCAAATGAATGGTTTGCAGAACACGGAAGACCTATTGGCATGCGAAGTGTTTACCGACGAATGAGAAGTTTTGGCTTGTTTTCATACCGGCCACACTGGGTCCTCCCTTTAACTCGAGAACACCGACGTAATCGCCTTGAGTGGTGCAGACAACGGTCACTCTGGGATCAGGAATGGAACAGTATTGTCTTTAGTGACGAGTCTTGATTTTGTTTAGGCATGCACGATGGTCGTGCCAGGGTTAGAAGGCGACGTGGTGAAAGGAGGAATCCACAGTTTTTTGTTGAAAGACATGTTCATCACACTGTTGGAGTTATGGTTTGGGGTACTATAGCTTATGGTTCCAGGTCACCTTTAATCTTCATCAGAGGTAACATGAACGCGCAGCGTTATATCCACGAAGTTCTAGAACCCCATCTTTTACCCTATCACGACACCCTGGCAGATCCAACTTTCCAACAAGATAATGCCCGACCACATGTTGCAAGAGTCACAATAGACTTCTTTCAACATAATGATGTCACATTGTTACCATGGCCACCAAGATCTCCCGACTTATCCCCAATTGAGCACGTGTGGGATATGATGGGTAGGAGATTGCTCAATTTGCAACGTCTTCCTCAGACTCTAGAAGCACTTCGAGAGGAGTTGGTGGTTGCCTGGAATGAGATACCACAGTAGGACATTGACCACCTGATCAGAAGCATGCCTAGGCGCGGTGGAGAATGCGTAGCACATCAGGGTGCATCCACACATTATTAAAGGTCAAAGGGCTTTAAAGCAGTGCAATCATTTTGAAATTTTTATCATTTACTTATTATGCTTCATTAAGTACTTATACAAAATTTTATTAAAATAAAACCATTTAAACTGGGTGTTCGGATTTAAATGTCACTTAGTATACTATCCCCCTAAATAAATGTTGATTAATAGTAGAGGAATACAGTTTTAAAAATCACTAAACATGACATTAATCGTTTGTAAAAAATATGATGCTTTTTGCCGAAAATTGTCCAATAAAGAAGCTGTTTAAGGACGTATTTTAAAAAGTAGTTGTAGTTCAGTCTCAAAGATCACAAAAATGCGCACATTTGGAAGATTCGTAGCATGTCTTCACAAAAATGGGGTATTTTCGACCTTGATGAAAATTTTATAACCAATATATGAAAATTGCCTTAAAAGTTCGTATTGATAAAAATCAGTGACCACTTTTCCCTAAAATAGAAGACAATTAATAGTAGAAAAAATAGTTTTAAAAATCAATAAAAACGATTCTAAAGATGTGGATGGGTACTAACCTGTTTTACCGAGAAAATAAAATATCGCAAGTAACATTTTTTCCAAAACTCTTCGAAAAAGCTCTTCTTTCATAAACTATTCATAATATTTTTTTTAATATACAAAAATAGAGAAATCTGATTTCTTTCATTTGCCAAACTGTCAATGTGTCAAAATTGTATATGCCTCACAACTGTTACATGTGGGTCATTTTTTTCTTTCAGTACTAGAAATAATAACTCACCATAATATTCGGATCCATCAAAGTACTCTTCGACTACTATGGTATCAGGGGCCGTAAAGCAAATCAAAGCAGCGAACTCTACATGGGTTGGAAGAACGATATTTTCCAAGCAGTACTCGTCATAAAGCAGAAGCCTTTCCTTGTCAAACCTCGGGCAATATAACGTTCCGTTCCTTTGCACAAAATACATAGGGACGTTTTCCTTGCCGAGCTTATATACCTTGCCTGATTTACAAGACTTCCCGTGAACGACATCGAACTTGAAAGTGCTGTCACTCACTTTTTGCTTCCCATCGTAAACCGGAAAGCCGAATTCGAGATCTGAAGGCGTGCAGTTTCTGTTTTTCAAAGCCATACCTTGGGGACAGCATTTTCGTACACAAACCGAACGTTCTTCACAAGTTTCGTTGGTGTTGTGATTCAGAACCGCATTGCTGACGTTGCTTCCGTACACGAAGCACGCACAAGTCACTAGAATCACTACGATCACCTTCATCGCGTTCTACTGCACTATCTGAAAGGTAAAATGGAATGCTTGAGGTCTTGGATTTTACATACCGGACGGTGGAACTTGATTACGACCAGTTCCTTTAGATAAACTTGAAAAATTCATTACATCTGACGAAGACTATTAATAATTTACATGTGTTTTCTTGGGTCATGTTTGGGTAATAAAAATGTCTGGCTTACGAAGAGTTTAAATACAATACTGACAGGCTCACAAGTGTCGCTTTTAGGAAGCGAAATGTACGGGAATGCAAGGATGAACTGATTTTATGCTTGTTCTATTTTTTCGGACTATATATATTTGTAGAATCTTGAAATCACGACGAAAAATTTAATTCTGTCGCATACTAAATTGTCTCTGTTTACAAACGGATGATGTATAAATAGAAATTTGAATTTCATGAAAAAAAAAACTGTTTTCGGTTACTGTTGAATTCTAATGAATAGATATAACACAAATTAATGGAAATTAACATGTATGTAATCCCACGGTTGAAGGTTTAAGTATCGTAATATATGCTATTACGTGTCGATATAGATTTGACTCATTCAGACTTGAAAAATGGTTAAAAAAACGTTTTTTTCTGAACACAAATCGTAAGGCGTGCTCTTTTTTTCTGTTTTTGTGCAAATATACTACGTGACATATAAATCCGAACACCCAATTTAAATGGTTTTATTTTAATAAAAGTTGGTGAATGTATTTATCTTACTGTAAATAACAAGTGAAAAAATTTTCAGCCTTATCAGTTGGACATTCCGGTTTTTATACTGCTTTTTTTTAATTCACTAACGCTCTAAAAATGAATATTTCAGCCGCAGTAAAGAATCAAAGTTGGCGGATTTTGGTTCTTGACATCCTTTACGATCGGTTACGATGCCTAGAGTACGGAGACCTGTACGATTTCGTCAACTTAGTGAGTTTGATAGGGGCCGTATAGTCGGAGTTCGGGAAGCTGGACTTTCTTTTCGGGCAATTGCAGTTAGAGTGCAAAGAAGTGTAGACACTGTGGTTAGGTGTTGTCAGGGATGGCTTCGAGAAGGCCGTACGCAAAGAGCAAGGGGCACTGGACGCCGCCGTAGAACAGCAGACCGTGAAGATCGCCGCCTAAGATTATTGGCCTTAAGGGACCGTGTCTCCACTACCAGGTCCATTGCAATTGAATGGTTTGCAGAACACGGAAGACCTATTGGCATGCGAAGTGTTTACCGACGAATGGGAAGTTTTGGCTTGTTTTCATACCGGCCACACTGGGTCCTCCCTTTAACTCGAGAACACCGACGTAATCGCCTTGAGTGGTGCAGACAACGGTCACTCTGGTATCAGGAATGGAACAGTATTGTCTTTAGTGACGAGTCTCGATTTTGTTTAGGCATGCACGATGGTCGTGCCAGGGTTAGAAGGCGACGTGGTGAAAGGAGGAATCCACAGTTTTTTGTTGAAAGACATGTTCATCACACTGTTGGAGTTATGGTTTGGGGTGCTATAGCTTATGGTTCCAGGTCACCTTTAATCTTCATTAGAGGTAACATGAACGCGCAGCGTTATATCCACGAAGTTCTAGAACCCCATCTTTTACCCTATCTTGACACCCTGGCAGATCCAACTTTCCAACAAGATAATGCCCGACCACATGTTGCAAGAGTCACAGTAGACTTCTTTCAACATAATGATGTCACATTGTTACCATGGCCACCAAGATCTCCCGACTTATCCCCAATTGAGCACGTGTGGGATATGATGGGTAGGAGATTGCTCAATTTGCAACGTCCTCCTCAGACTCTAGGAGCACTTCGAGAGGAGTTGGTGGTTGCCTGGAATGAGATACCACAGGAGGACAGTGACCACCTGATCAGAAGCATGCCTAGGCGCGTTGGAGAATGCATAGCACATCAGGGTGCATCCACACATTATTAAAGGTCAAAGGGTTTTAAAGCAGTGAAATTTTTATCATTTACTTATTATGCTTCATTAAGTACTTATACAAAATTTTATTAAAATAAAACCATTTAAACTGGGTGTTCGGATTTATATGTCACTTAGTATTAGTTGTTGCTTCCATTATAATCACACAAGAAGCGGGGTCAAAACTAATACTCCACGACCTGGCTTCACAAGTCATATATCAGATCGGGTTTCATTTTTTTATGGGAAGTGAGATGTAAGATTTCAGTCCTAAATCGCGCTCAAAGTTTTATGGTGCTGAAAAACTGTGACTCTTAGCGTACTTACAACTTTGTTTTATTTTTATTTTTTGGCTACCCCTGACCCTGGCTGATTGGGCCCCATCATATATCAGTACGCTAAAGTGAATTGTGGAACTCAAAAATTGTGATCTCATAATTCGTTTGGCAATTATTTCAGCCAAAAGTGATTTTTTTTAAAATATCCACTGTTTTACTGGGCTGACAATTCGAACGCTCTCCGAGACAAACTTTTTTTATTTTTCGTAAATCAGAAGGGCTAATCTACCGCCTAGTATAATCTGAATTTTGTACTCGACGATACAAATTGGTCGAATAGGCTCTTGGATCCAATTTTCGATAGTCTGAGTCGAAATTGGTCATTCTCATGATATTGGAGGAGTTTAGTTTAGATTAGTTTATAAAGGCATATTTTGGTACAAATCTTGAAGTGGGCGAACTGAAGTGAGACGGGGCTCGTACATTCAAACATCTTCACAACGATTTAAGATATTTATATACTTTATTATACAAAAATTACTAAAAACTTCATGGAAAATCTAAAAATAAAGAAAAAAGTGAGAGGTTTTCATTTAAAAATCTAAATATCTTATTCTTTTATTTATTTTTTTGTACGGCTATAGATGAAAAAACGTCTCCCTATAAATCAAAATTTGACGTGTCTGAGCGGTTTTCCCAAAATATGCCAGGACAGTCACATACGGGGTGCCGTTGGGCCACCCTGTGTAGAGGCATCAGACTTCGTGAAATCTCAGATTCATACGTCGAAGAGTCCGCTCTGGAGTGACGCGCCCAAAGTTCACGGGTTCGGAAAAAATGTGAACTTTAGCCTTTGTGGCATCGTTTCCATTTTCTCGCTACACCTGTCCTGAAAAGCATCAGGTCCTAATATATCAAATTCGTTATATTACTGACAATTGAATTTTTAACCTTGTTTGATAATTTCACTACGAAATACTCACATAATATTGGGCCTAATGCTATATTACTTTAGACAGGTTCAATTCAATGAATACGTTATCTTCTTGTTCTATGCGACTGCTTCATTTTCTATTTATTTGATATTTTTAAGGACAACGCATTTTTTCTTTGACGTTAACACTTTGAAAGAATCAAATTTATGTAAATGTAAATTTAGAGGCATTACTTTTATCAAACGTACATTTGTGTATCCTTCATAGAAACCACTAATATTTAGTTGTGAAAAATAACGTTCTTCTATTCATAATTATGTAATAATAATAATAATCGTCTTTATTACTATAAACTACGAAAAGCGATATTTAGCTTAAAGCTACTCTTACACCTAACTGTCAGTAGCCGTTCTAAACAAATAATTTTACATTACACTAAATTATCTATTTGCATCTCATGTATTTACATGCACATACCAACTAAATATTTTTTAATTGCTACCTTAAATTTTCTTGTTGGTAATTTTTTAATAACTTCCAAACGGAGTGGATTGAAATGGAAAACTGACTGATAGGTAAAGCTTCTATAGAAAAGACTTAATACAAAGTGCATAGCCGGAGATAAGTAATCTCTTATAACTAAATTATGGATGTTGTAGCTGAAAATTAATTTATTTTTGAGGTATGATGGAGACGTGGATTGGTTGATTAATTTATGTGCAAAAATTAGAAAATCGAATTTAAAACTAAAGGAAATTTTACACCAATTTAAATTCTCGATTTTCTCAGAAACATGATCACATCTTCTCAGTCCATGAATAAATCGACAACAAGTATTTTGAACCGTTTCAATTGTTTCTACTACCCCCAAACAAGGGAAATACACTACAAATCCATATCTGAAAATGGAAAGAATTAAGGGATGTTTCTTTAATCTATAATTCAAAAAAAATCTATTATCGTACACTGTTCGAATTTAAAAGTTCTTAAAATTAAAGTATTTATATGCTCACTTAAACAAAGTTGTCCATCAATATGTAGTCCTAAAACTAGATACATTACAAAAATCTAATCTTACGTTATTCATACTTATATTCAAATCTGTTTCAATTTTATTTTTGTCATGTTCTGAGTAAAATATAAGTGCTGAGCATTTATTTGCATTTAATTTGAAATTATGTTCAGAGCGATTATACAGGGTGGCGCATCGAAAACGAAACAGACGCATTTACTGGCAGCTCAGTTTTTTTTTTAAAAACGCTCAGACCCGTCGATTTTGTTTTCAAGGGGGACACAAGTTTGGCAAAAAATCACGTTAGCACGTGCAGCCCCCTAAGCAAAATCTTAAATGGAAAGGGGGGTCGAGTGATACCTTATTTTAAAGGTCTTTCAATTCCCTTTATAATGATACACAGCAGCTACAAAAATTAAATGTTTGGCTGATATTTTTAGCGATCATTTAGTTTGTCCTTTTTTCTTACCTGGAAATTTCACCGGTGAAATGTATTTGGAATTACTGGAAGACGCCATAAGTCCTGCATTAACAGCCATAATTGAAAATTACAATGATCAGCGGTACATTGCGAACAGGTTGATGTTCCAACAGGATGGTGCCCCACCACATTACGCATTACGTGTTCGACAATATTTAGAGCAGACGTTTCCAGATCGATGGATTGGTAAAAGAGGTGCCAAGATCGCCAGATTTATCACCTTTGGATTACTTTATGTGGGGGTCATTAAAACAGCAAAATGTATGCTACTCAGCCAACATCATTAAAAGACCTGCGACGAAGAATTGTGAATGAGTGCCTTCAAATTACTCCTCAAATATTGCAAAATGTGCGGCAACATTTTGACCAAAATCTTTATTATTGCATGGAGAGTCATGGTGGCCATTTTCAACATTTACTTGCCTAACGGGTCAGTTCCTTTATTCATTTTTAAATTACTTTGCTTCCAAATGTATTGTTCTCAACTAATGATGATGTATTAGTTTTATTTAAGCTTTAAATCAATAAATCTTCAAAACTACTGAACTGAAGTACATCAATTTTATATCATTGTAAAGGGAATTGAAATACCTTTAAAATAAGGTATCACTCGACCCCCCTTTCCATTTAAGATTTTGGGGGTGGTGTCACCCCCGCTTAGGGAGCTGCACGTGCTAAAGTGATTTTTTGCCAAACTTGTGTCCCCCTCGAAAACAAAATCGACGGGTCTGAGCGTTTTTCAAAAAAAAACTGAGCTGTCAGTAAATGCGTCTGCTTCGTTTTCGATGCGCCACCCTGTATATAGATTCTAGATCATCATAGATGTGTGCCATAGCTGCAGATAAAGAGTAAAGTGAAGTGTAAAACTTTGTGGCATAAAAAACACAGTTTTTCCAATTACAAAGCGTCGCACGGTCACACTGTCAGCTGACACTAGTTAAGCACTGCATGTCTGAAGAATTACAAGCTCGTCCAAGGTTATTTCATCGGAAACAATCACATAACTGACACTTTCACACCGCAAAAAACTACAAAACCGTAACAGAAAGCATCTACGGTATATGTCGCGTCAAGAATCGTCGCACTATGGACTGCCGCGACAAAATCCAAACAGGACCCAATATAATTATATGCGAATCGTGTAATAAATATTAAAAATTACCTTATACGTCACTATTCTCAGCCATCACATCTCGATTATCCAAGAGAGCTCGAACTGGTATGCAAACCTGTTTATATGATCGGACAATGTGTGGACTTTATTTAATTCCATTAACATATCGTATCAATCATCAATAAAGCACACAAAAATTTCAATCAATAAATTCAATGGGTCTCATCTAATTTCGTGATTAAATTTCATCCCAATTGGGTCGTTTTCGGACATAAGCCGGGTTCAAGGCTACTACGATATTGAGGATGCGAAAAAAACAAAAGCTCTCTTACCTGCCGGTTGATCTAGATGGCTGTAGACTAGTATGTAAAAATGGGTGTTTTAGGTCGTAGCATAATTTTAAAATGCAAGGGTTACGCATCATAGATGATATCAGTGACCATTTCGTTAGCGTTATAGGAATTTTATTTGCCGGTGGCGGTCGGACATGGAAGACCCTAATCATCGAAATTGATGGTATTGCATTCTGAATCGTTGGTGCATAATATGCAATAACACGAAATTGGGTATATTTATTAGTTGAATGGAATCAGACAACCTGTATACAGAGAAATTCCGAATAAAAAAATTGATCTCTAGTTATGGTTGATACTCTCACATGGTAAATTGATTTATAATTTCTCTAAGGATGTGATCAAACGTAGTCTAAGACTGTGACTACAGACAAACTAAACGTTTTATATGAGGTTCCAATAACAACCGACGAGGGGGTAGTCACGTGATTTCTCTGGTCTAAAATGATGAATCATCATTTACGAGGGATGTCTTTTAAGTTTAGCATATAGAAACTTAGTAGGCTGCGCGGATCGAACGTCAGTACTGAATCTTAACCTCACTCTTTAGTAAACTTAAATTCAAAGTTTCACAAACGATACGTGCAGTGTTCTCACTACAGTGAATTTTTAAGTGTCACCAAGTCATTAGAAAAATGGAACTCAACCGAGAACATTTTCGCGCCATAATTTATTACAACTTTCAGAGACAATTATCGCAACAAGAATGCGTTGCTGAGTTACTGACTGTTTTCGGCAACGAAGCGCCACATCAGTTGACAATTTCCCGTTGGTATGGAGAATTCAAACGTGGACGAGTGAGTCTTAGCGACGATCCCAGGGTGGGTGCACCAAAAACGGCAATCACCTAGAAAAACATCGATGCTGTGCGCAAACTCATCATTGAAGATAGACATGTGACATGTCGCGAGGTTGAGGCGTCCTTGTTTAGAAAAAGGTGGTCGCGACATTTGTTTCAAAAGCGGGTCATATTACAACAATTTCTCTTAAAGATCAAAGAACTGTTACTGCGGATTAGTATACCACCATTTGTTTGCCAAAAGTCATCACCGAGCTTCGAAAAATCAACCCCGAAAGAAGAATCATCCTCCAACAAGGCACAGTGCGTGGTCAAAGGCTCCAGTCACCAGAAGAAGCAGTTGACGAATTCAAAAATGCCGTTTTGGATCTGCCAGCAAACGAGTAGAATAAGTGCTTCGAAAATTGGTTCGAGCGCATGCAGATGTGTATTAATCTTCGTGAAGAATACTTCGAAAGACAATAAAGTCATTTAAAACCACCTACCGTGTTGTTTTATTTCCATACGCGAAACTTAAAAGACATCCCTCGTATGACAATTTGTCACAGTTATTTCGCTTAGTCGCCAATCTGTTAGTGACGTGTCCAAAATCCCGTCACACAAATTTCGTTCATTCTGATATGCTATTATAGACGGTATTCACACGGCCGGATACCAGACACAGTCATCGACCACTGTGAGACCAAAGCAGAAGTGGAGGCAAAGCTGCGCATTTAGGTAACTAAGAAAATTTAACTTAGAAAGTTTCGTAATTCCGAGTATTTCCGGAGATAGACGAAAGAAACCGAATTTGATTTATTTACTTATATATAACTCAACAGCATCAGCCATTTACAGAATATGAGACAGGCAGGACCACAAAAGGAAACAATTATTTCATAATACATGCAAGGATAGGTAGTTCAAACACAAAGGTACTATTTATACTAAGTGACATATAAATCCGAACACCCAGCTTAAATGGTTTTATTTTAATAAAAGTTGGTGAATGTATTTATCTTACTGTAAATAACAAGTGAAAAAATTGTCAGCCTTATCAGTTGGACATTCCGGTTTTTATACTGCTTTTTTTTAATTCACTAACGCTCTAAAAATGAATATTTCAGCCGCAGTAAAGAATCAACGTTGGCGGATTTTGGTTCTTGACATCCTTTACGATCGGTTACGATGCCTAGAGTACGGAGACCTGTACGATTTCGTCAACTTAGTGAGTTTGATAGGGGCCGTATAGTGGGACTTCGGGAAGCTGGACTTTCTTTTCGGGCAATTGCAGTTGGAGTGCAAAGAAGTGTAGGCACTGTGGTTAGGTGTTGTCAGGCATGGCCGTATGCAAAGAGCAAGGGGCACTGGACGCCGCCGTAGAACAACAGACCGTGAAGATCGCCGCCTAAGATTATTGGCCTTAAGGGACCGTTTCTCCACTACCAGGTCCATTGCAAATGAATGGTTTGCAGAACACGGAAGACCTATTGGCATGCGAAGTGTTTACCGACGAATGAGAAGTTTTGGCTTGTTTTCATACCGGCCACACTGGGTCCTCCCTTTAACTCGAGAACAGCGACGTAATCGCTTTGAGTGGTGCAGACAACGGTCACTCTGGGATCAAGAATGGAACAGTATTGTCTTTAGTGACGAGTCTCGATTTTGTTTAGGCATGCACGATGGTCGTGCCAGGGTTAGAAGGCGACGTGGTGAAAGGAGGAATCCACAGTTTTTTGTTGAAAGACATGTTCATCACACTGTTGGAGTTATGGTTTGGGGTGCTATAGCTTATGGTTCCAGATCACCTTTAATCTTCATCAGAGGTAACATGAACGCTCAGCGTTATATCCACGAAGTTCTAGAACCCCATCTTTTACCCTATCTTGACACCCTGGCAGATCCAACTTTCCAACAAGATAATGCCCGACCACATGTTGCAAGAGTCACAATAGACTTCTTTCAACATAATGATGTCACATTGTTACCATGGCCACCAAGATCTCCCGACTTATCCCCAATTGAGCACGTGTGGGATATGATGGGTAGGAGATCGCTCAATTTGCAACGTCCTCCTCAGACTCTAGAAGCACTTCGAGAGGAGTTGGTGGTTGCCTGGAATGAGATACCACAGGAGGACATTGACCACCTGATCAGAAGCATGCCTAGTCGCGTTGGAGAATGCGTAGCACATTAGGGTGCATCCACACATTATTAAAGGTCAAAGGGCTTTAAAGCAGTGCAATCATTTTGAAATTTTTATCATTTACTTATTATGCTTCATTAATTACTTGTACAAAATTTTATTAAAATAAAACCATTTAAACTGGGTGTTCGGATTTATATGTCACTTAGTATACAAATATTTATAAATATCATAATGCAGATAAGAAATCAAAAAACAGACAGGCCGTTACAGAAATATATCCAATTCTTCTGCAACGTCATTATACCTACCACAATAGCAAAATAGTGGAGAAAACTTTAAGATGTTTGTTCTAGCAGTAGACAAATAAAATGTATCAAATTATATAGGATTTAAACGTGGAACAAGAAAATTAAATTTATGTAATATGTTGCAATTGTGGAGTATTTCACGCACAAAATTAACGGAGCACATATCACGCCTTTCCCTGAAACTTTCTAGATCAAAGATTTCTAAAATTTGTTAGGGGCAGCCAATGGGAGGGTAACTGCAATCGTTCCTGGATATTCATATCGTTTCTTTACTAGCTTTATTTTTTCAAATGGGATTTCAAAATAAAAAGTACGTTGCTAATATTTCTCTTCTAGAAGATATCGTAATTATTATTTCAATATGACGCTTCGTCTCTTGTGCTCCGTCATCAACTTTGTTTTTTCTTATAGGCGCCATATTGGATTTTTGCACGTGTGAATGGAGTGTTTAATACCGGTTTCGAGCACCCGTTTTACATTGACATTAAGTTCTCAGATTTCTTCATAAATTGAGTTCACAGACAAATCTCAAAAGTATAAAATAGAAATTTGACGTGAAATAAGTCAATGAATTTTTTCGTGGATTTCCTCAGTCAATTAGATCTTGCTCTAATGTTTGCCAAGCGCTGTAACGTAATGTAGCACAACAATTTGCCAGTGAATCGCTAAAGCGAGCACCGAACAGAGCCGCTCACGTCGAGCAAATCGTGCTCCACTTGACTGTAGGATTTTTGATGAATCATTTGATTTTACACTACAAGTCAGTACAGGTGGCGACTAGTTCGTCCGTGAACACAGTCTCTGCAGAATTTGGAACACTTCTTAGCCGAGCATTCCAAGTGAACATTCGCGGGTCTCAAATTATGAACTTTGTAATGTAAAGGTGCGTTTAGATCTGAGCACGCACGCACTGACCCACCGCGAATGCTCAAGTGTAAACGCGCATGCGCGCACACTCACACTGTATCTGCACGTGCGCGAGCAACAGCGAACGTGATACACCTGTTGTCGGACTCAAGACGTTGCTCAAAGGAATTATTGGGTTCTCGAATGCTCAGTGGCGCACAGGATTTAAAGAGTTGATTGTATACTAAGTGACATATAAATCCGAACACCCAATTTAAATGGTTTTATTTTAATAAAAGTTGGTGAATGTATTTATCTTACTGCAAATAACAAGTGAAAAAATTTTCAGCCTTATCAGTTGGACATTCCGGTTTTTATTCTGCTATTTTTTAATTCACTAACGCTCTAAAAATGAATATTTCAGCCGCAGTAAAGAATCAACGTTGGCGGATTTTGGTTCTTGACATCCTTTACGATCTGTTACGATGCCTAGAGTACGGAGACCTGTACGATTTCGTCAACTTAGTGAGTTTGATAGGGGCCGTATAGTGGGACTTCGGGAAGCTGGACTTTCTTTTCGGGCAATTGCAGTTAGAGTGCAAAGAAGTGTAGACACTGTGGTTAGCTGTTGTCAGGCATGGCTTCGAGAAGGCCGTACGCAAAGAGCAAGGGGCACTGGATGCCGTCGTAGAACAACAGACCGTGAAGATCGCCGCCTAAGATTATTTATTGGCCTTAAGGGACCGTTTGTCCACTACCAGGTCCATTGCAAATGAATGGTTTGCAGAACACGGAAGACCTATTGGCATGCGAAGTGTTTACCGACGAATGAGAAGTTTTGGCTTGTTTTCATACCGGCCACACTGGGTCCTCCCTTTAACTCGAGAACACCGACGTAATCGCCTTGAGTGGTGCAGACAACGGTCACTCTGGGATCAGGAATGGAACAGTATTGTCTTTAGTGACGAGTCTCGATTTTGTTTAGGCATGCACGATGGTCGTGCCAGGGTTAGAAGGCGACGTGGTGAAAGGAGGAATCCACAGTTTTTTGTTGAAAGATATGTTCATCACACTGTTGGAGTTATGGTTTGGGGTGCTATAGCTTATGGTTCCAGGTCACCTTTAATCTTCATCAGAGGTAACATGAACGCGCAGCGTTATATCCACGAAGTTGTAGAACCCCATCTTTTACCCTATCTTGACACCCTGGCAGATCCAACTTTCCAACAAGATAATGCCCTACCACATGTTGCAACAGTCACAATAGACTTCTATCAACATAATGATGTCACATTGTTACCATGGCCACCAAGATCTCCCGACTTATCCCCAATTGAGCACGTGTGGGATATGATGGGTAGGAGATTGCTCAATTTGCAACGTCCTCCTCAGACTCTAGAAGCACTTCGAGAGGAGTTGGTGGTCGCCTGGAATGAGATACCACAGGAGGACATTGACCACCTGATCAGAAGCATGCCTAGGCGCGTTGGAGAATGCGTAGCACATCAGGGTGCATCCACACATTATTAAAGGTCAAAGGGCTTTAAAGCAGTGCAATCATTTTGAAATTTTTATCATTTACTTATTATGCTTCATTAAGTACTTTAAGTACTTATACAAAATGTTATTAAAATAAAACCATTTAAACTGGATGTTCGGATTTATATGTCACTTAGTATACTTAGTCCAGTAAATGATGAAAAGGAATAATACTAAAGTTATAAAACTCTTGCAAGGGTTTGAGAAATTTTATCTGTACTGTGGAACGTTATGCACGAAGAGTATTATTCAAAACCGAAAAACAATGGTGCATGGAAACAACTAGTAATCAGTTGTAGCATTGAAAATTTATATTGTTGCGAAGCATAGAAAAAAATTAAAAGTCTGATCGGATCATTTCGTCTCGAAAAAAAAACAAAATGAAGATTTTGACAATCTGAAAAGATACTGCAAACGTTTTCTTAGTGATATAGATTTTCGAAACTGTGTATCAATTTTTATTATCGTTGGTGTTACCAACGTAAGCAGGTATTGAAGGTCAGTCTTGATCATTCTTGTAAAATTTCTGAATTGATCATGCAGACTGTTTAATACTAATTCCTTTCGTTTCCGATTTTCTTTTATTTTAATTAAATTATACAGCATAATAGATGTTGCCGCGGCTATAAGTCTATTCTCCATGTTAACCTCGTACGCGAACGACTGGAGCAGCTCATGCATTGAAAAATGAATGTTAGTTTAAACACTCTCCACGTACGCGAACGAATGCGTGCGCGTATGCTCAGCGCGTGCGTGCTCATATGTAAACGCACCTTAACGCTCGATGTGAGCATTACATTACAGCGCTGCTTCAGTCAGGCGCCGCCTTTATACCACGATACACATACACTAAAGATGGGATACTGCTCATGTGGGCGGAGCTTCGTGACGTCACCCGGAGAGTTATCGGCTCGTGGTTACCAGCGGCAGGATTGTCGTAAAGTTACTTCAGTTCACGTGTATCGTGGTTAATACTATATAGTGCGATTTGTTGGTGATTCTTGGTGGGTTTGTGACTGGTATTAGTTATACATACCTTATATACGATGTGTGGTTGCGAAATTGATAAAAATGCGGTGTGCTGTTTTGGGATGTAATTCCGACAATCAATCTAAACGGAATCTTTGCAAAGACATGATGTTCCACAGTTTTAATCAAAACCCAAACATTAGCAAAAAAAAGGCTACATCTCACAAAAAGATCAGACAAAGTCAATGTAAAAAGCGCTAGGGTTTGCTAGAAAATGCTTTAGAGGATCTGAAACGACGCTTCAGCGTCCAATATCTGTTAACAAGACGTCTCAGTCAAGATGTGATAGAAAACTTTTTCGGAGTAATTATGGCAAAAGATGGTCTTCATGACCATACAAGTCCTATAGAATTCAAGTATAGAATAAAGTCATATATGTTGGGGCGAAACGAAGGCGCAAACTCAGAGTACCTATTGCAGCGTAGAGTCAGAGGATACTCCAGACATTCCACTAACCACTAAACGCATCATTAACGAGAATAAACTAAATGCACCTGAAGTGTACCGTATACCGAGCAAGTTTTAGTGGAAGAAATAGATGAGCTCGAGTATGACGGCCTGGAAAATTTGGCCGGCTTTGTTTGCAATAAATTGCATATCAACCCAAATGATAATCACTCTCCGCGTGACGTCATGCGCGCCGGCGGACGAAAATCGAACAGCGGAGCATACGGCCCTGCCTTTATACGATGTAGGCTGGACAAGGTATTTGGAGAGGCTTTAAGGCTAGCAAGCTAATCCCTTTTCTGTAATTTCTTACCAAATGCGAGAGTCGAATTTGAAACAGCCGGTATACTTTTAAAGGGTTAGTTTGTGGTAGATGCAGTTGTGTAGCCACCGATTTATGCTCATATATGGGTTGGAAACAGCGACATCTATGAGACACTGACATTTTTAAAGTACAATTTAGTTCAAAATAATCGCGGCTGGAAAAATTTTGGTCACATTCGGAAGGTCATAACTTTCTTATTTTTACCTCGATTTTATTGATTTTTTCGGAAGGTACACTGATCGGCATTAATGTGTAGATCTGAGTTCTTGATTGTAGCCACGGTTTAACTTGTATATCAAAATGATGTTTAAGTACTTTTTGGCAACTGGAGTCACACCACAGAGTGACTCGAAGTCATTTTGATTTACCCTGTACAAGTCAAACGGTGGCTACAATCAAGAAGTAATATCTACACATTCATGCCAATGAGTGTACCTAGAGCTTGCCGAAAAAATCAATAAAATCGAGGTTAAAGTAAAACAGTTATGACGTTCCGAATTTGACGAAACGTTTGCTTGCTGCGTTTATTTTCAACCTGAGTGTTTTTAGAGAAAAAGCTGTGTCAAATTCTGATATTTGACGCTACAGTTTCTCATTTCCTCTTGAATGATTTTTAGACGTGCAAATGTAGTATTAGTTAGGCCATCTTTATGGCCTCCTTGATTTTCATAGTTTTCCAGTCCTTCAGAAAGGCGCTCTATTTTGAGGTTAAGTTACAGATATCTATTTGTATCAAATTGTTCATGTTTCTGATTTTTATCATCTCTTTTATCAGCCGGAAATTTCCTACGATTTAAAAAGAAAACGTAGTCTCACAATAAGAGAGCACTGACGTTGACACGGACCAGTAGAAATCTAGAAACGCCCCAGCCTTTCTGAAGGAGAGAAAAGACTATGGGAATCGAGGAGGTCATAAAGGTGTCCTACACTATTGTAGGAACGACTGACGATGCGGCCCTTAATAAAGTTAAAATAGATTGCAGTTAGTTTAATGGTAATAATTTTTTTTAGTTCATTAGACAGTGACGAAAGAACCGGAGAATCACATCCACATGCAAAGAAATAAAACTCTTTTAATAAATAAAAACAATTTATGTAATAATTTTATTTAAAAATACATATAGTTATGATTTCTTCTTTTCTTTCACTTTTTTGACTTTCTGGTTAATACCTTTATTCTTATTAACTTTACCGTCAAACTTATTTTTCTTCATTGCACCATTCTTTCCACCACCTTCATTTTTTGAAACTGTTTTCTTCTCAGTAGAAATGCTTTTCTTTTCTTTCGTTTCTCGGCAATACCGCTCTTGGTCTTCGCCTTTTCTCTTTTGAGGATCTCCTTGAACTTATTCCTGAAAATATGAGTAACTTGAATGTCGATTGAAACAAAGCGCGCAGACAATTTACCTTTTTCCGCCTTTGATCCTTTCATAAATAGGTTTGGTGATGATATCATCTCTTTTAGGGGCGCTTTTCTCGAGCTTCTTCCGTTCTTGCTTAGATTTTTTCTTCAACGTCAACATGTACGGAGGAACTTCACATCCGGATTCTTTCAGTACATGGGCAATGCTGGAACAACATTTTTCCAATTATGTCACACTTGGAAGATACAGGGTGCGTCATCTATTACTTTTTTTCTATTTGAAAAATCAACACGCTTTTTACGAGGTGAAATCGAATTTTTTATTGATAAATGAAGGTTGGTTTATGCCATTTAATGTATGAAAAATAAAATCAGTCATGTGACCACCGCGGCTTCGTTTACAGGCCAACATCCGAACATCAAAATTTTCAAAGACTTTTCCCAGAATAATCGGGTCTATGGTCTATAGAACAAACAATTTCAAAAAACCACCCTAAGAAAATTTTTCTCACATAGATATGGACGTGTTTTTTGGAATGAGAACTTTTTCCCAGATTTTTTGATGCATTAACAAGAAAGTGCCAACCACTTACATTTGTTTCATGCTTATTGGCCATCAGTAGCACGGTGTTGGCGTTTATCTAGGACAACGAACAAAACCTCTCTATTGAAGGAACAAGGTCTATATGATCGCATATGTGCCATCTATTACCAGAATCTAACACTGCAAGAGTGAATCTTCTATTTCGCCAGAATCGACGGCATGAAGCGGTCACAGTGTGGAGACTCCGCTTTCAATGCCAACTGAGATACTTGTATAATTCTAAGAGATAGCTGCCGTTCACTATGCAGAGGTTGATTCTGATGATAGATGGTGGGAATATCTTACCTCCTCAAGTTGACTGTATCATCAATAGTAAAAAATGTGATAGCTTTTCCTTTTCTTCCGGCTCTCCCTGCCCTGCCAACTCTATGAACATAAGAGATGGCAGATGGTGGAAAATCATAATTTATCACCAAATTAACGCCTTTAAAGTCAACGCCGCGCGCCATCAGTTCCGTACAGATCAAAACCCATATCCGGCCTTCACGGAAGGCTTTAACAGTATTGTCTCTCTGAAATTAAAAAATGCGTCAAGTTTACTCTGTTACCACGTTAATGCTGTCATCAGTTCGTAAAGGATTATGTTTGGCTCTGCTGACAAAAAAGTTGACTTTGAACATGTATAACAAAAAGTTAAATGACTCTCCCCCTCCCTCTGAGATATTTACTTTCGCAGAATACAGCACGGAAGTTACTGCCAACTACGACCATCAGCCCGACCACGGTGCACGTATCGATACGCGACTGTTGGAGATATTTCTAAGCTTCATGGGTAAATAATATACGGGGACGTCAATGATGACTGAAGTATATCTAATAGGTGCGTAGAATTACTAAATATACCAACGTCAAAAAATTGAGATATACCCTTCCCCACCTCCTATAACCTTCAACCCCCAATTTTTAGCCCCTACGAAACAATTTTCAAAGCGTATAAAAACGAAGCTTGAGCGATTTTTATTTTTTGCGTTTAAGGCTTTCTTCTCCGGCGCCACTGACCCGATTTTCAAAAAACGTACAAAGCTTTTTCGTCCTTGGTGTAATTGTGAAAATTTCATCAAAATCCGAGCAGTACTTTCCAGGTTAGCGGACAGACAGACTGATGGAAATGAGTGCTATAGTTTTTCATGATGTAAATGTCATATAATATTCAAAAAACATAATACCTATTTACCCCAGTAGCCGTGAAAAGTAAAGAAAAATTAATAGTACATAAACAAACCTACTCTACAATGCAAAAACATTTTAAGCTTTCTAGTCAAAATAACTTCCCACCAAATCAATGATGGAAATGTTGCTTAATCTTTGAGTCAATTTTGATTCTTACCTGAAGTTGGGTTCTATCTGCATGTATAGCATCCACATTGATTCCATCATAGATTAACTCATTGAACAACTGCTGAGCTCTCTCCTTACTCTGAACAAAAATAAGTACTGGAGGGCTTAACCCTTGCCTTACTATATCCCTGAATGCCAATAATTTTCCTTGTTCATTGCCAACAAACAGCAACTCCTGATCAACTAAATCGGTGGCAGCATTTCTGAAAAGTTACAAAAATCATTTTATGAATATTCAAGTATATATAGACAAGAATATACAGAAAATTGATTCAAAAAATGTATACACGAATAATTATGCAAAAATGACATTGTACCATTAATGCTAAATAAATCTTCAACAGAGGCCAATATTTATTAATATTACTTAGAACCTGCCTATATTTAGTTGACCATTTTGATGACTTAAAGAGTGATCTTCAGCTGCAATCTTAGCTTTAAGATATACATTGATAGTTTTTATTGAAAGCCTCAGCTGTGAAAAAATAAGATATTCATAAACACTCGACACTGTCTTTCACCGTTTTGTACTCTTTATTTCATTAATATTCATTTTACATTTAGATTTAGTATTAAGGAACTTTTTTTGTACTACAAATACATAAATAAACATGAAATTCTTAGTAAAGTTTACCTTTGACCAACAGTAACTCTGACAAGTCCTTTCATGTTATGTACACACCACTTTGCAACCACTGGGGTATATGTGGCACTGAACATGGCTATTTTTCTATCATTCCCATCACAAGCCTTCAAAATTTCATCTAGTTGCTCTCTAAATCCTCTACTGCCTGTTTCAAACAATTTATCAGCTTCGTCTATCACTAGCCACTCAATGCTAAAATTAAATCAATAAGATATAAGTGAAAAAGGATGCCTCAGTAAGAGTGCTTACTTTTTCAGAGAAACTGCTGGTGGATCCTGCTTCAATAAATAACACAACCTATTGGGAGTTGTTATTAGAATATCTGGAAAAAATAACCAAATTAGCTCTTCACAAAAAATGAATTGTATAAAAGATGGTGTTGACACATGCCACATCAAAGGTAAAAGTAGACAAAAAGTATTTATTCATCCTTCATATACAGAAAATGAAAGCCCATGATAATGCATAAAGACAAAAATATTTCTTACCAAACTTTTGAGAGCTCGAAGATCCGTACTGAGTCAGAGCTTTTTTAATTTTGCTTATAATATGAATTCTCAAGCCTCTTCCTTCAGATAACCTAACACATTCTCTTTGAGTTTGTTTTGCCAACTCCCTTGTGGGACAAAGAATCAAAGCCCTGAATCCTTTACGTTCTGGACCCTTTAGGTGCATTATAATTGGTACCAAAAAAGCAGCTGTCTTTCCAGAACCTGTAGGAGCACAAGCTAAGATTTGTCTTCCCTGAGAATAAGAAAATATGTAACATATAATTAGATTTGAGTGGAAAACACAATAATAGCTGGTTGTTTGTTATAATACAAAATTCTATCCCAGAAAAACCATGTTTAAAGGGTTAATAATTACCTCTAGCATCAAAGGTACTGCTTGCTTCTGAATTGGAGTTGGTTCTTCAAAATTGCACTTCTGAAGATTCTCAATTATATCAGGATCAACTTTGAAATCATAAAATGTCTTTGAAGGTTCTGGTACATGTCTTCCTACCACTGATATATTGTTTTTATTCCTATAATGATTTATCTGAAATACATAGTAATAATTATTGAACAAATTTTCAATAGGTTTGTCAGATCTAGGAGACACTAACAGCTAAAATCACCTAAAGTTCATTGTGAGGGTTTCGTACAACTTTATATTAATATATCATGCTTTGTACTTAAACATGTTTCATAAAAACTCTGCAATATTTCTGTGGGGTAAATAAAATAGTTCATTTGGACCTGAGTCTTAAAGTGTGTTAAGGAACTAATCCTAACATGCCATAGTGTTATTACAACACCTTGTGTCATGGCACATTTTATAACCTATATATATGAGAACTTTTTTTATCATTGTTGAGGTACTTTCCTATAAATATTGCTGTTTTTCTGAATAAACCCTATATGTATGTGAAGGTTAGCCTACCTTTTCTTTCTCTAGCATCCTCATTTTTACTTCATTTTGCTCATCATCCCTTTTTCGCTTTTTCCCTCTTTTCTCTGACCTTTGTAATCCAGACAAAAGTGTAATTTGATTTTCTTCTGAGATTACATTTTCTACACGTTCATCTTCACTTTTAACATTCTCAATTTTTATCTCATTTACATCGTAATCCGTTTTTTGGTCCTCCTATTAAAATAATAGACACATGAACAATAAAATAATTTTTGGGTTGTGCCCCATACATTAATTTGTATAAAGTACTTTACCTTTTTTTCTCTTGGATTATGCTTCCTTGAAAACGTTACGCCTTTTGTAAGTTTTTTGAAAATGTCGAAAGCATCCATTTTCACTAACAAATGTATGAAAAACTTCAAAATATAATTTGAAGAAACAACACTAGAAAATACACATTTCGGTTTAAAGTTTACCACTTTGACTTTTTCAACACACTTTTGTAAAAGTGAGGTTAGACGAAAATTTGAAACTGCAAGCAAAGTCCAGGATTTCATATATTCGATATGTACTCGAAGCAACTAGTATTTTTACACAGTGTTGCCAAGCAAATTTTATAGCATTGGAAAAATTGTGCAGGTAGTCTTGCTTTGACTCGCCAAGTACGGTGACTACAACTGTAGCAAGCGCGCGATGAACTTTTTGCACTTAGCCTACTTTCTCAACTAGTTGAGAGTCTGTATCGATGCTATATGAATTAAAATTAAATTAAATTTCAAATATCAACTTTTCTCACGACTAAAAAAATGGCATATGTTCCATATGGTTCCATACAACTTAAGCGGAATTTCTTCTGGGATACATTAGCGTTGGTGACCTTCAAGTTCCTTTACAGCTCAATCGAGATACAGGGCTATGTTCTTTAACAACTCCACTTGTGCTAACGCTACAGCTTTTAGGTTTAGAAAGTTTATCTTTACAATAAATCACTCAATTCCAGAAATTTCAATTAATTTGGCAACACCGCCAAACTCACTTCGAGTACGCATCGTGTTTATTACGAGTATCTGCTTGCTGCGCCATCTCTTGGACAAAAGCTCATATACTCTTTAGCGCCATCTTCTGGGTACAACCTTAATTATAATATGGACGATCTACCGGGAAATAGTTAAGGCTGTAGATCTAGATATCTGTACTAATATCAATCACATAGTTTTACTTTCGTCTAGTAGATGTCGTATGCGTAAAGTAAAGGTGGCAAAAATACGGCGTAACTTTGATGATCAGGTGATAAGCCGTTGATTTGCTGATTGGCGAAGTCCACGTCAAACTGCCATCAAACATCAAAAAATGGCATTTCTTGAAGGTTCTAAAAAGTGTCAGTGTTTTGTGATCTCAGGTTCCCTCGAAGTGTTCTGTGTTAAATCTTAACCTTCTTTTTGCTGCTTCTAAAGTTGAAGTTGGTTGTTACCACGTGTTAGGCCTCAAAAATATTTAATATTTTGGTCATTATACGTCGAAAGTTCAAGCCAAAATGTCTCTCGTGATCCCGGAGAAGTTCCAGCATATTCTGCGTATCCTCGGAACTAACATCGATGGAAAACGCAAGGTGATGTTTGCCCTCACAGCAATCAAAGGTGTAGGTAGACGTTACTCAAACATTGTACTCAAAAAGGCCGACGTTGATCTCGATAAGCGAGCTGGAGAATGTACCGATGAGGAAGTCGAAAAAATCATCACGATTATGTCCAACCCAAGACAGTACAAGATCCCCGACTGGTTCCTGAACAGACAGAAGGACATTATCGATGGTAAATACAGCCAGTTGACCTCCTCTACGCTCGACTCCAAGCTCCGTGAAGATTTGGAGAGGCTGAAGAAGATCCGCGCCCACAGAGGCATGAGGCACTACTGGGGCCTGAGGGTGAGGGGCCAGCACACCAAGACCACCGGCAGGAGAGGACGTACTGTTGGTGTGTCCAAGAAGAAGTAGATTTAAGTTCGTTAATGTATTTGTGACTCAACTGAACGTTTTGTGAGCACCACCTGATTCCAATAAATGTATTCTTCTTAGTAGTGTTGTTTTAATTTTGTCATTTGTTCATATACATGGAAACATGTTGTTTAACATATTCCTCATATATATATATATATATGCATCACATTTAGAGATTTGAACCACAAGCCACAGTATAAAAGCAACTTGATAAAATAATGATAAACAACTTCATCTTGTCCTCAACAAAGCATCCCTTGACTGGGGGTGTTAAATGCTACATACAACCAGAAATTTGCAGTAAAGTGTCACAAAAATAATTGAAAAATACAAAATAAACCCACTACGTATACATATGTTTACAGTCCTAGAGTAAATAGTACGACTAAAAAATAGGGACCATAGTAAAAGCTTCACTGTTTTTAAGATATTAATTTTTTTGTCTCTGTTTTTTAATCTTGTTGCTGTGCCTAGAAATAACAGGATCTCTGGTTGTTTTTTTTTTCGACAATATCCTCAGATAGTCTGCCATTTGAAATACATATAATTTTTGATAAATACAAGTAGGTAATTTCTTTGTAATTTTTATTTCTAAAACTATTTTTTTCAACTTTGGTATTCAGCAATGAAATAAAAATGTACTAGACTGCTACTTCAAAGTACTGCGATAAATTACCTGCTTAATCAGCAACAAAAGGTAGATCAAACGAGGAAATTTTTCGAAAATGACAAAAAAATTAATATCTCAAAAACAGTGAAACTTTTACTAGGGTGACTTTTTAGTATGTTGTAGATCTGCCTTTCGCCTATCTTCCCCATGTTTTTCTCGTACTATTTAACAGACACCACATATTGAAGTATAAAATTCTGGACTCTAAATTGCTTTTCTGTAACTTCATGATTTTTTTTAATTTGTGATTATGTATGGCCTCTAAGGATCAACATTTACCATATACTGAAGGTTGCAGGGTAGCAAATTTTCGCAGGGGGGCAGATTCTAAAAACTGTTCTCAAAATTATGCTAAATATACAAATTTTAAAGTCCAACGACATGCCCAGGAGTGGCGGGGCTCAGCCTCCCTTGCGAGCAAATAATGTGCAAATATGCAAATGTAAGGTCCAAGTTCTCGTCTGAGAAAGCTAATTCCACCAAACAAAATTTCAGATCATTGATTTTGAAAGTTTGTGAGCCATATGATAAAAAAGGTATTTTTTGAAAGAAAAAACAAAACTGATTTTTCAAATCTGTATTTGGTATATTACAATATATTGAACATTCATCTACATTAAAGTTGATACAAAAAATTCATCAAAATAAATATTCTCTACATACACCATCTCAAAATATATAAGATCACATAAATTAAATAAACATTTTATCAATTTAAGGAAAAACTGTGCCATAAGGTATCATCATTATAAACATTATTAAAAATAAACATATCCATATTCTATATAATGATTTCTCACCGATAACAATTTTTAGGAATAAAATCTGTTCTAGAATATATAAACACATTAAAACAATTTTTTGTGACATGTCTGTAGAGCTCTAGCACCTTAAGGGAAATATGTCCATTTTGAGATAATCTTTGTAAGATTTCACCATATATACTGTGCTTTTCAGAAAAGCCCCTCTCTACTTATTTCTTTAGTGGGTCAAGTTTGCATGCTTCTGCATCAATTCCCGGATTTCATCTTGTTAACTTTACTCGTTCAAAAAATAAGTACGGGGTTCTTTTTAAAAAACACAAAGTTTCAGTCAACAGTGCATAAAATCAAAAGGTTCACAAACACATTTGTACTTCGTTCAGGTATATCAGGCAATCAAAAATTGCCAACAACCAACAAATAATGTAGGTACACTTTGCAATGATAATACCTTATAACATAATTTCATCCTCTCTAAAACAAATAATATAAATAATCTACATATATACACATATATGGTTTCAATTTTTGTGTATACACACATATACTACATATATTATTTTTGTTCATTTCAGATTCAAACAGTAGAAATAAAACTGTCAGTAGTAAAAACTATTACCACGTTTTGCACATGGATGGCAGGGATAACAAAAGATTGATTGATGATGATGATTGTATCATGATATGTCTTATAATATTTAGCTCAAATCGCTGCCAACACTTGTTTTTGAACATACGATAAGGACTTGGCCCCGCCTTTCATTCCGATTATGCTATGTATCTGCCTTTTCTTTCTATTCGTGTCATATGTAGCAGGTACTGAGAATGTGAAAAAAATTACGAGTACCCTTTCTTGATTGTACTTCAGTCTTGGAAATCAGTTCATACTTCAATTAAAATCATTATCCATAATTTCATATTTTCTGTTATATCTTGCATATCCGTGTTTCTTTCATAATGTATAAAGTGTACTAGAATTCTTTCAATGAAATTTAATCGCAACAGTTTGAGCATTACTGAAAATATCTAAACTAAAAGTTTAGACGCATTGAAAAATGGCGTCAAGTAGGTTACCTCTATATTTCCCACGCCTTCAAAACAGCTTCTAGTACAATTTTCCATGGCATCAAAAGGCCGTAGATTTTGTCAGAAACATTAGTGCACTATATTCTATTTTTTTTTGCATTTGTCACTGTCGCCATAGCATCGATTTTCAAAAACTACAAAGCTTCTTCACCTTTGGCATAGTGGCAGCCTGGTGTAAAAATTTTCTCCAAATTCCAGCAGTTATACGAGTAGACGGGCCAAGGATTTGCGAACAGATCGATGAAAATGAGTGACATGGTGGTGTCATATAGCATCAAAATCGTTATATTCTCTACATTAGGCGTGGGAAGTAAAAATATTGTTAAGAAGTAGCACATGTTCTTTCTTCTAGACGTTTGTTTAACCATATTCAGGGCGCACCATTGTTGTCCCCAACATCGTGTGCAAAACGGAATATCTCATTGAAATGTCTGAAGAGATATGGGTCGCTCTCTATATTCCTCTGAAAATATATATGTTTGTAAAGGATACTAAGCGGTGATTCGCTCTCCCAATATCTACATATTCAATTAAATATACTGATTTGTCTGAATACGTATAGTACGCAATATGTCTATGATTACTTAGAGCCCATGTTTTATATTTATTATCTTTGAATCGATTAAATGATCCACACATCAAACTACTTTGGATATAATATAAATACATACGCTAGTCGTTACAATGAACACTGCAATTTTAACATTAGGTTAAAGAGGTTTGAGACTCTGGTTGATGAAAAATTGGAAGAGTTTCTTATGCCAAAACACTGTATGATACCCCAAAAACGGTTTACAGTCCTACCATGATCGTATGTGATTCCTAAGTACAGACCTGTTTCTATGTTAGACTTTTTTATATTCCAGTTACCACGAAGGCCAAGAGCCTAAACACTCATACCGTGGGGCTATAGGGGGATTCAGGGGAAAAGGAGGGGACGCCACACTGACTCTAGCGAGGGAACACGTGTGCATGCAGCATGCACACATTCTGGCCCGCCTACGAGATCCGCCGGGTGGTACCGTCTACCACCTACGGACAATCACAACATCCATAGCCAAGAAAAAAATTTCGTCTACCACTGCGGCCACTGCTGCTGCCTGAAGACTGTTTTGATCTAGGGTTTTAAAATAATACGTGTATACTCTACACTTTTCTTGAAAACTTCGATAGAAAATCTGAATTAGCAGGATTTTGTGTACAATTTTGAGAATTTTGGCTCCCCTGGAAAAATTTGCTACCTCCTACTCTGCAAGTAGACTTTCACAAAAAGCGACCTCCCTGACAGAAATTCCTGCGGGTTGCCTTGGATATATTGATGACGATTCAAGTTTTCTTATGAATAGCTAGCAAGGTTTTTCATTAGTTGTGTCCTTGTGCTCTATATTTATAACTATGCATCCGATTTATCATCTCAAACTGTCAATACAATCTTTATTCTGAAGCCTCTTCCAAATTGTTAGCATCAACCTGTCAACAACACCTCAGTTTTATCTATAGGCCGTTCTTCCATCAGTTATCAGTATTAGGTAAGAATATTATCAGTCGCTGTTTCATTTCAAGCTTTTATTATACCCTGTCTTACTAACAGGCCTGTTTTTAGTCGAAAAACACTACCATGTCCAAAAAATGCTACAAACAGAATGGAAGCTTGACATGTGACACTGATCATGGTATAAGATACCCAACCATATGCTGTATTTAGATGTTCATCTACGATTTTAATTGTCACAGCCATGTTGCCATGGAGCATCACAGCAATTCCCTTAGAACTAATAAAAGCGGACTCCGAAAAGCCTCCTCATGCAAGACAGGGTATATTCACAGGTCATGTTAAGTTTTCGTTTAACCTGCCTCAAAGCTCTTTCTCCATTCTGGTTCAACCTTTTGGAGTATGAAAAATATGAATAATACTACAGACAATATTTGATATATAGCTAGTTATAGTACTGATTAATGCATTCTACCAAGTTATATTCGAGATGATTTACTAATATATATATATTTACTTTGAAAATGGCTCTAGATCTAGCAGAGCCTTATGTTTATCTGTTCCCAGGTAACAGTTCATATATATTTTCTTCCCTTCAAAATGAATGAACTGGCACACAACAGACAGATAAGAAAAATATACTGTCATTAATTGTCATTTGTACTCGAAAAAGGCCACCGAGGTGGCTGAAACGTCAAGAGAAATCAAAATATATGTGAAGTGAACCTATATATACAGGGTGACTTCGAAGTTGAGTCATTTATTTTAACAGTGAGTAGATCTGATCAAAAGAAATGTTTTTTCCTTTAACATTTTTCTGGTAAAATTAAAGTAACAAAGTTATAGCCCTTTAGAAGTTTGAGTACCGCCCTGTCTCAATAATAATATTATGTGCTCGTATTTGGCAACAACGGATATAATCCGCCTTATCGGTTCATCGCATCGGAAACAAAAAAGCGAAAGAATTTGAAACGCTGATCACGATGTTTTTATTCAGTCAATGTGTCAGTCGGTAACGCGTGAGTGAATAGTGGTGTTTGCTGCGTGGCTCAAACGAAATAAAAAATGGCACATGTTTATGCGGATCGGTTTCCCAATCGAGTGCAACCAACCCCTCGTGCCTTTGTTAATGTAGTACAACGGGCTCGTGAATCAGGTGACTTTAGACCTCACAGAGGAGGGCATGCCGGTGCTCCAAGACCTCACGATCAAATACAGGTCCGCACTGAAATACTTGTCGGGAGGATACTTTATAAAACAAGGTAACATTTTTTTTTTATTTTTTTTATTTTTACACACATATTTTGGTTTATCTTCCTTCTACAATCATTATCTGAAAATTAATGACTCAACTTCAAAGTCACCCTGTATGAATGATATAAGTGAAGGATCTCAAAGCCTGCGTTTCTAATGGAACACTTTGAAATAGGCCAAACAATTACCTTAAGGCCACCTTACTTTAAATGATAGTCTTTTAATTATAGTGTTTTTATAAAATGATTTTTTGTAATGATTGTCTTAAATTTCATCTTTTTCCCTGTATCTACACTTTACTTTCTTCCTTGAAGGAAACATTTCTGCCGCGTTATCTAATACTTTCATTGGAGTTCATTTTTGGCATTTTCACATACGGGTTACAACACAGTCCAAGATACTTCTACAAGAATCTATGTCATTTTTTGAATCACTATATATCTAGAAACCCACAACACAGCTCTCTGATTTTCTAAAATTACTTATAGGTGTTGGGTCGACAAGTCATCAATCGAAATTCTTTTGTAGTGGCCGGAAATGGCTCTTAATTTTTACGGATTTTTCAAATGGTCTACAACTTCTAGACGTCTGAACTAGAATGCTTGCGGCAGTACCTTCAACTGCGTCAAAGTTACAACGTTACGATTAAACACACGATCTACTGAAGCAGCGTTCGAAAACAACATGGAGTACAAATTAACGAATAATAAGCGTACGCTTTCTACAGATGTCGATATCCTTCAAGACTCCGTTTTGGAGTTAAAATTGCAGGATTCCCAGTAATGAAATATGTTGTCTTGTGACGTGTCCCATAGCGACTAGCACACATCTAGCAAGCTAGTCTGCCGGAGAGTCACCTTGTCAAGGCGAATCGTTCGAGTCCGAGCCCAAGAATTGAATGGGGAACAGTGGATACCAACCGGTCGTCAGGTGTGTCAACGTCAAAGCATCCAATGCTACCTCAGCGCCACCTACAAAAATGAAATCTCATAATTTTTGCTGACGGTGCCACAATACTTTAGCACACGATTGACAGGTTTTTTGTTACTTGTACATTTTTTCCACCGACTTTATAAAATTGAGACAAAATTTGTCAATGATAAATGCAATAAAAAAAGGGTGTGGTAACAATTACTTAACCACTCCAACTGACGCACTTTCTCCTTGACCTTGTCTGGTATCTGGACACAGTGTTGCCAAAGCGAAGTTTAAAATATCCGTCACACGTATCGCAAAATTCCGCTACATGCCGCTACGGTCTAAAAATTTAAGGGGAGGGGGGGAGGCTTAAAATAAACAACAAATATATTTTTTACATATTTACTTTTTTTTAAACACTGTCTAAAAACCCTACTAAAAATACAAACAGTAACATAATACAATTGCAATTTTTTGTAAAAACATAAAAAGTATACCTCTAAAAAAACAAAACTGTCTTTGGTTTAGAATTAGGAACTAATAAAAAAATAGAAACTATCACCAATATCTTAATCTTAATAGAAAAAAAAAACAAAAAATAAGGACAAAGAAGAAGCGGAAACGTGGAAATGCCTACGTTTGCTTATTTTATTCACAGTCAGAATCAGAAATTACTTCTTCTTCAGCTTGTTCTTCCTTATTTACATTATATAAATTCTTTTTATATTTGTTTAAATGATTCTCATTAAAACTATAGGATAAACAGCACTGTTTTTTTGATTCCAAGTCTAATTTAATTGTAAGTAGTGCAGACAAAGTTGATGGTATTATTTTATTTCTTTTTTTTTGTTTTGTAATCAAGCATATAAGAAAAAGTTCGCTCAACATCAGCGTTTCCATGAGGCAATGTTAAAATGATTAGAGCCAGTTTACCTATATTGCGAAATAAATATTCGTCATTAAAATTTTTGAGGTCGTTTACAAACGACCAAAATTCAATGACAGAACTTTTTGTTTTTAAAATTTCCTCTTTCTCACTATCACTAAAATAAATACATATTTCCAAAATTGCCTTTTCGGTTTCAATATGAAGGGCAATTTTTTTTTAAAACGGCGTCATGAAAGGTATCACTTATAATAAGACGATTGTTCATCACATCAACCGGTGAGAGAAACTTTAGCTCTGAAAAGAAGTTGTCTTTGATAGGAAATCTTTTAAGGGACTCTTCTACCGATTTTTGGTAAAATGTGACACATTAATTGTTCGATTGCCGTGTTATTGTAGTGTTTTATTGCATCCATTGTATGCGGACCAACATTCACTTGTTCAATTGGTAATAAGCAGTGGGGATCATTAGGATTTAGATTATATAATTTCTCATTTTTAAAATATTCTGGTCGCATAAAGTTTGTACATAGATGACGTACAAATCGCTCACTCTCTATTGATATTGAGCATAACTTTCTCTGATTGAAAGAGAGCATTAAATTGGTTAAAAATGGGCAACACGAATTAAAAAAACATTAAATACGCCTTAACAAATGGATTCTGTAACTCATTAAGTATTACATCTGCTACAGGATTTTTGTCTTCAATGGAAGCTAATCTAAATAGGCTAAGCAAGATGTCCCACTGATCCAAAACTCTATCAACACATTTGGATAAAGCAAGCCACCTTGTTTTACTAGGGCTTAAAATTTTCAATTTTGACTTTTTGAAATATTCCTGTAATTCTTCAAGAACACACTGCCTTTTTGGGCTTCTTGAGAAGTAAGAATATAAGTTTTGTAAAAGAGCTTCAACGTTGCTTGGAATCTTTTCAGCTGCCGCCACCGCCACTAAATGAGCAGAGTGGCAAATGCAGCCATTGACAATTATATTACGATTATCTTTTAAAAGATAAGTTTTGAAAGATTCGTTATTGCCCATCATAACACTAGCGTTGTCGGAACAGTATCCAACAATATTGGTAATTTTTACTTGATTGGATATAACGCATTTTTTAAAAAGAGAATATAAACCTTTGGCGGTACCTTCATCTGCGTTTATTTTAATTATATCTAATAAATGGGTTTTAATTGAATTTTTATGAATATACCTTACAAGAATGCATAGTAGTCTTGTATTGCTCAGGTCTGTACTCTCATCCAATAAAAGAGAAAATGGTTTATTTTCCAATTCTGAAATTATTTCGTCTTTAATAACAGGAGCCAGCACATTTTTAATTATACTTATGCATTTGGATCTTTTTAATTTAAGTGAGCTAGAGAGATCTGGGTCTGTAAAACATAATTGACTAACTCCTGTTATATGATCAACAGTTCTAAAACTTATATAATGACTTACAACTAAAAGACTATATCTTTAGCAAGCAAATATTTGCCGTTTTTCCAACTCACGTGCTTCCCGAGACTGAAAAGTGCTATCTAACGTTCTTACATTCGAAATTGCTTGTACATTAGTGTCATGCCTTTTTGATTTCGAATGATTCACTAAATCTGATTTTTTAGCACCCATTATTTGATTACAAGCTTTACATTTTGCTTTCAACTTGTCATTTTCAATAGGTCCCAACCAGCCTTTAAATAACGGATCTTCTAGCCATGATGAAGTAAACATTTGTTTTCGTGTCTTTTTCTTAACAGGTTGCTCTGGCTCTTGGTTATCCTGAGATTCGCAAGTCGAATTATCAGGCTCAGACCTGATTCCACTAGATTCCGCTCTTCTATTTTGTCTGTATTCAGGTTCGGGATGCTCCGAGTCCGACACAGATGCAGTCGAAGTGGATGGTACGGCACGTTTGGTTTCACCGTTTGTTTTTTAGAAGGATTTTTATCAAAAAAATCGTTAATGGTCTGCTGTCGCCTTTCCATTATTCCTATTTTCCAGAAGAAAAAGCGTTAAAAACAAATTTCGTGACTAAGATTTACTTCTGGATCAAACTAGAATATGTTAGAGATTTAAGCAGTTTTGTTACTTACCAGTAGATTTAATATTAAAATCTGCAGCAAATGATATATCAATAAAATGATCAACACAAAAATAAGAACACTAATATAAACGAAACTAAACAGTATATACCCAGAGCTGAAAAATACAATACAAAGCGAGAAACCTAATATTATGTCTGCCTGCAGAGACCTGTTAGAAACGATTAGTATTGAAAGCAGTACGTACGCCATCTGTTATTGAAAAAAAGGCAAGTGGAATAATTCTCTTCTCTGTTCCTAGATGGCTCAAGCGGCACCAAATGCACCAATTTTATTATTAATGTGAATAAATCAGACTCTAGCCACTGCCTATTTAGGATTTAGACCGTTATTAACGTTAAAACACTGAAATAAATATGATAGTTTTGTATGTAATAAATTCCGCTACATTTTGGGATAATTTGCTCTACCGCCGCTACGCCGCTCTTCTCAAAATAATCCGCTACGTATGGCAACACTGTCTGGACAACCAACAATACTGTGACAAATAGCGCCATCTGTTGGGCGAGTCTCCTACTCGTCAGAGCTTAATTGCCGATCTCTGCTTTTACGCGAACCATTGCCGCACAAGCCGCCTGGCGACGTCTGTGAGCACTGTGACAGTGGATCGCCTTCTAGATCGACGCGAAGTGATCTTCAACATCCTAGATGTCGCTTTGTGACGGCAATTGGTACTATATATAACTCGGCGGCCGGGAGATGGAGGTAGAGTACTGAATACGGTAGAGTAGCAGAGCGCAGTGAAGTAGAGTACAGTAAATGGTGACATAAGAATTAGTCAGACATAAATAGTGGTGCATATAAATGTTAAATAAATTAGTGATATTCTTTTTGTGGAATCCAGTGTTTTAATCCACATCCAAAAGAACCCAGAAATACGCTACAATACTTCAGTCAGGAGCAAAGAAGAAAGCCATAACCCTATTGAAAAAAAGTATTTTACTATGTTTTACTGAATGTCAATAATACCAACCTAAACCTTGATTGTGCTCGAACCCTCCTTGTCTCTCCCACAGCATGACGACCAGACTTCGCCCCAGGATGTCGCACGCTTGGTACTTGAGCGTCTGCCGGAACTGCGGTTCGTACGAGTGTTTCGCGATCCTTGTCTTTTTCTTCTGCAGCCATCTGTCCTGTTCTCTAAGGTAGCACTTTACGTACGTGTCGGGAGGAGCTTCGCGAGACGGGATTCGTCGAGCGCATACCACTTCCACCTCCAGCTGACCTGAAACGAAAAAAAAAACCAGTGCAAAATAAACACTTCAAAGTGCATAGCATACAGTTCTCATGCACACAAGAAATTTTCGGGTTTTTACAGATCCCAAGACCGCACTTGTATTAGATAAATTTAGCTTTCTGTCCCTCGGTTTGAAATACCAAGCATGCAAGTTGGATCGCATTTTTTTAATGAAATCGATGATACAAAAGGTGATCGGAAGTTCAAGTTGAAAACAATTTTTTGTGTTAGTACCGGTTAGTGGAAAATAAAACGTCTATATTGCTTGACGGTCACAGGTTGAGTGGGGCGATGGCTGGTCGCGCTGTTGCCGGTTTGACGCTGACGATGGAAATTTTGGTATTGTCATAGCTCAAAGCTATAAAGTTTGTTCATTGGTCCACCCTTTGTAATACACTTTGAAAATTTCACTGACGTAGCATTAATCACACTTTCTGGTGAGTGTTGAATATGCGATTGGGAGACACATCATGTACGAGGGTGGTTCCAGAAGTATCCGACCCAATGAAGAAAACACAAAATTTTTGTAAAAAGATGTATTTATTTTCCAACATAATCTCCTTTGAAGCACTTTTCCCAGCGATGTTCAATAAGTTCGATACCCTATTTATAATAAGAACTGTCTTGCTCCTCAAAATAGCCATTAACTGCCGACACCACTTTATCATCTTTGACCACCGAGTCATTTTTTCAAGTTTGGAAAAAGAAAATAATCCGAGGGGGCTAAATCTGGTGAATAGTGCATGAGGTAGCAATTCAAACTTTAATTCGTTAATTTTGTCCACTGCAATAACGGATTTGTGAGCTGGTGCATTGTCTTGATGAAACAGCACTTTCTTCTTAACCAAATGCGGCCGTTTTTGCTTGATTTCATCGCTCAAACGTTGCAATAAGTTCGCATAATACTCGCCGTTGATAGTTTTACCTTTTTCAAGATGGTCAATGAAAATTATCCCACGCGCATGCCAAAAAACCGACGCCATAACCCTTGCCTGCAGATGAACCGGCCTTCGCCTTCTTTGGAGCCGGTTGTCCCTTTTTAGTCCATGGTTTTGATTGTTCTTTTGTCTTGGGTGTGAAGAGATGGACCCATGTTTCATCCATGGTTAGGAAACGACGCAAAAATTCTGCTTTGTTGCTGTGAAACTTCGCTAAACACTCAATTGAAACATCTTCACGACACTATTTTTGCTCGATTGTGAGCAATCGCGGCACCCATCTTGCACACAGCTTTCTCATGTCAAAATTTTCAGATAATATGCTCGCGCACTTTCAGTCGACGATCATTCAGTACCGCTTTGTGAATTTTCTTCACCATTTCTGGAGTCGTCACCTCATTTGGATGCTCGTCTTGGCAACTCATACGGCCTCGTTTAAACTCTGCTACCCAATATTTTACTGTTGTAAACAAAGGAGCAGACTCACCCAGAGTAGAATCCAGTTCAGCTTTTATATTGGTTGGGCTGAGGCTTTTGAAATAAAAGTATTGTACCATATAACGATGACCAATTTTCACAAATTCACTGAAAACGTTCAGTATTGATGGCTGCCAAACAAATTCTAAACAACGTGGCGTCTTCAAACTTGACACATATACTTCATAAGTTGCATACTTTCTAATACAATGATATTTTTTAAACAACTGTCGCCATCTCTAGATCAGGCCGGGTACTTCTGGGACCACCCTCGTATAGAAGTTTCTTGGCCTTGGTTGTTACGAGGTGTACGAGTATCTGCTCTGACCAGGATAAACGCCAAGGTCAGTATGACTGCAGACTGCTTCGATGATGCGATCAGAGGTCTTGTATACGAGCTACGGATTGGTTTTTCCAAGGTATAAGACACAACACTTTGATAGGTTCGAGGATAGAAGCCAACTGTCTGATCATTGACGAACAATGTCAAGATCTCGCTGCAGCAGAGCAGAGTTTGTAACGGTGTTCAGAATCTTTGTGAAATCTGCATAAGCAGAACACGTGGATGACGAGGCAGGCGGGTCTCTTGTATATAAAAGGAAAAGCACTGGACCCAAAACTGAGCCTTGGGTTACTCCGCTTGGCACACGATAGAGGGAAGCTATCTGTCACCGACGCGCTTAGAAACAGTTCTCCCGGTGAGGAAAGCCTCGATCCTCTGCAACAAATCGTCTCGAAATCCAAGATGCTCCAGCTAGAAAAGAAGTCTTCGGATTCAACTTAAGTGTTCGTATCCGGTGACTGTGTCCAATCGTTGAGACAGTGGAAAAAGTAGGTGATTATCGATCGTCCAGGGATAAATCCGTGCTAGTTGCTAGGGATGACATCTTTTAAAAAAATATATTAAGAGCTTATCTAACATTCGTTCAGCTACTTATTAGACGTTAATTTTTTATTCTGCAACTCCCTCTGAATCAAATGGTTTCCGAAACGCCTTTTTTCATAAGGAAGGAATAAAAATTAGTTTTATTTCACGTGACCGTTGGAGTCACCTCGATACAGCTAGTCTACGGTCCACCTACGGAGAGCGATTCAAAAGTTATTACAATATGTCATACCATTTATTTTTTATAGGATCCCTATTTTTTGACGAAGACACCTGTATTTTTATAGTTATGACATTATGGCTGAACAAACAGGAAAGTGCGGTTCAAAGCAGAACAATTCCAGAAGCAGGGACACAGGGTGAGTGAAAAGTAAGCAACACGGATGTGCAGTACTTTGCATGAGATACTACCTACCTACCTTTCGTCATCAGCAGGCCCAGTTTGATTTCGGGAGGTTGCGAGGTCGAAAAGCGGTATCCTTTAGGTTTGATCTGTCCAGGTCCGAGTTGAGGTGGAGACGTACGTTCGGGACTTGACGGAGGGCTAGCTCCAGCATCACTGACCTCGGGGTTTTCTCTGCATTCCTCACCTCCAGAGGGACCACTAGCGGATTCTATAATTGAATAGGACACAGCTAGTAAGTCTCATTATTTGAATTTTTCAGGAGACAGTTTTAAAGTATTTTTTTAGACTCAATGTTGTATTTGGATTGTGTGACATTCGAATAAGTGGATTTCAGGTCTAAAACAATGGCGACCATGGAGAAAAATAGCTTAAAGATTAACGCTTCCAATGGTTAATTCACTTTTCCAAATAAAAAAATTCTTGTGCCTGAAACAACCCTCGTAAGTTGGAAGGTGTAAAATGACAAATATTTCTAGTTTGCTCTAGTTTTAAACATTGGGACTCATACAAACGAATGGAACTCCTCATATACTGATTCGTATGAACCTAAATAAATACAATCCTGTATTTGTATAGTAAAAATATGATTCAATCAAAAACTGTGGGCTTTGTTTTTTGTCGCCTCTTGATTAATAAATTAACGAAAAGCCAGGGGTATTCCCAGACTTCTGATTAACTCTAGGATTTTTAACATTTGGCGTATTTTATAGTTGCAGACTCTCAAACTACTTCTTTACAAGTAGAAGGCAATATGAAACTGCCTTAAATGCACTGCCAAAGAAACCAGTGGCCTGCTTAAGCTCCGAAATATCTAGTCTTTCACGGGTCTCTTCGAGGACTGTAAAAACTAAGCACCTTGTCGTTTACACATATTTATATCGAATAATTACTTACTCCTATGTTTCTTGTCTCCAGTAAGACTCATCGTTCTACCTAGTTCACCTTTTACAGCCTTCAGCGATTTCAGAATTTCCTCGGGGTCCCTTAACATTCTGGTGCAGCTACTTCTTCGTCTATCCCTGCTGTAAGATGGAGGAGGAGGAACCGCTGGCTTCTCCTCCTATGCAGAAAATGAAGTCAAGGAATCAGCGTTTTTACGCAAAAGTATGGCACGCAAAGTTGCCAAAACATGTGAAAGTATACAAACGCGATTGGTTTAGATCTAACAAAATGGAATCGATTTCTGGTGCAGCTAGGTTGGAAAGAAGGGTCGCCTTCCCACCACCACTACTACAACTTGATCACCTTTACAGGAGTTAAGCAGCATTGAATTTATCCTGGGGTTTTCATGGTGATTCTGATTGTGTTCTCAAATCTTGTAGGTTCTTTGGAAGATTCACATAAACTCGGGATTTTAAAAAATCCCAATGTCTCAAATCGGGACAGCGAGCTGGCCACTCCAAATCGTAATCCTAATTGAGACGGGGTAGACTGGAAGTGTTCCATCAAAAACAAAATTATTCCATTAGCACTGGAATTTTACGGAATCAAAATGACATTGAAATTTATATCACACTCCATACTATAGTACTACCACAATCGAATTGGATTTTAGGCTACTTCATTCTTAAAGTTCCAATAGCAGAGTGATAATTCCTTATTGAAGTTATCACAAAGTAATTGTTATTGTAATTAGTAACAATACGTAATTGTTATCACAACCGATAATCATAACAATTTTAACTACAGCAAACGCTCGATAACGTAAACACGGGATAATGAAAACTTGCGCTAATGTAAACACACCCTTCGTTCTATAGGACCAAACGGAACGCGCAATAACGTAAACAATGTGTACGCTCGATAACGTAAACAACTCTCGGCGCACGGAAACAGCGCGACTGTAAAATGCTGAAGCCTCGATGATTTATGTCGGGCGTCGGGGAGTCCCCGATTTATGATTTAGAGTGTAGGGGATTCACCTCTGCGATAAAATACGACAAACTGGGTCAGTCGTATGATCGTTTAGGATACGTTTATACGAACGTATGTATTTCATTTTTGAACTTAAGTGAATACATTGCACGCGTTAATATATTTTACGACTATGGCATCCACATCCTATAAAAGAAAGTGTTTAAAGTTGAGTGAGAAAGTTAAAATCATAAACGAAGTTGCACTAGGTGCGGGAGTGCAAAAAAATATGGAGTATCGAAAGCAACAATCTGTAAAATTAAGCGTATGAAAACTCAAATTTTACAAAGAACGTGCAATACATTTGCAGGTCCGGGAAAAAGAAAAACTTTAAAAAATGCGAAGGCACCTAAAATGGAAAATTCCATGTATAAGTGGTTTTTAAAACAACGGGAAAATCATGTCCCAGTTAGTGGCGAAGTACTTAAACAGAGAGTGAGACTGTTAAATGAAAAACTGAAAGAAACTGAAAATTTCGTAGCTAGTGATGGCTGGCTACAACGATTCAAAACAACATATGGAATTCGACTGCTGTCTATATCTGGTGAAAAATTATCAGCACAACCACAATTAGTGCAACCATTCAAAGAAAAATTGATGAAAACAATTACCGAGCTAGATTTAAGAATGGA